GCTGTCCGCAAAAATTGTAGGAATATTCTGGCTAAATACTATCATTAATGAGGATTTCTGGAGTTTAACCAACCAGAGGCAGGTGTATAACGAGATCAAACTGAGGAAATAGAGGTGGATTGATCACACATTAAAGCGAAGCGGCAACAACATCGCTGGCAGAGCTATTGAGTGGAATCCACAACGCAGTAGCATCACTGGTCGTCCAAGACCCATGGCAAAGAACAATTAAAAAGGAGATCGAAGCAGTGAACCAATCATTGCGAGATGTCAAATCAATTGCAAACAACCGAACCCGCTGGAGAGCATTTATTGAAGCCATATGCTCCACGTAGGAATAAAGGTACGTGGGTCTTACCGTTACGTTGGAAAGGTACAACTTATATATATGTTACGGTTATAGTCCGATGTTATGTTAATGTCGGCATTAACAGGTTAATGTTTGGGTTTGGTTTTGTTTTTGATTGTGTTGTTTTGTGTTATTCTCGAGATTAACCGGGTAATGTCGATATTAACCGAATATCGGACCTTAACCCTTAGCTGGTCCGGCGTCGTCTGACAGACTAAGCCTAATAATTAACTCATTCTCATTAGTTACTGGGACCGCCTACAGGATTGGCGTTCCAGCTAATCCTCCCCTTCACGGTCAACGACTGATAGCCATATTTATGCCCAAACTGGATTAGTTTTTTAGAAGTTCTGGCAGAAGTTACTTAAGCCGTAGTCTCTCAGACGACGCCGGACCGTTTGTGTAAGATTTTGTGTGTGACAAACTTTTGTAAAATATGGCCGGGCCTTTGAAAATAGTGCGTTAAGGAGACTCTAGTTATGAAGAGACTATTAAAATGATATGATGAAGGCTGTGACAGTGACACAGTGGCGCATCTAGAGATTGAGTCTGGGAGGGATAGTGTGAATATTCAAAAAAGTACTAAATTTGAATTAAATTTTTACTGGAAGGTATTGTAAATGTGGAAAAAATCTATTTGGATTGGTTTGGATATTCTGTTTTAATTTGTATTATTAACTTTTTTGTAACAATTTTATTTTATACCAAATTTTATCTTATTAATTAATTTCTTTCTGGGAGGGGTAATTACCCCAATTACCCCTCCCGTATATGCGCCTCTGCAGTGACAATATGATAATCTGCCAGACAAATGCGTTTGGCAATGTCATATATTCCACGAGAAATATACTTTACAATTGGTAGAATACTTGCAATTCCCGCACAACCAGAACACGCCTACGGAGATATTCTTATCCTAGAGTTCTTATCCTAGTTAAAAACAATATTATGTCCTAGTTAATTATTTTTAATGCCTAGAATGTACGAATCCATTTTGTAAAATAATATGTTCTGGAAAACAATGAACTTTGCCTCATGCTGTAACTAAAAACTTTTTCTTTTACTCCAGTTTTATAACTTATTTTTTTTTATATATATAGTATTAAAAACTTATTTCTGTATTGTAATGACTGTTAGTAATTTGGTTTTATTTTTTAGAGCTTAGTAAAAACCTAATTGATTTTTTTTCAAATTTATATGCATGTTATTTTATTTTGTACTATATTTTCTTAAAGTTTATATTAATTGAACCCATTTGTGTCTAGATTAGTTCAATAATACATAATATAATATATAGTGAAATAAAAATTTGTTATTTTTTAGTTTTTGTGTTTTTTTATACTTTTTAGAAGGCGTAGTCCTACAGACTACGCCGGACCGTTTATGATACATATCTATTACCGGACCAGTTAAGGGTTAACAGTAATATAATACTATATATTCAAGATAAACTACCACAATAATTATGTTTGCGTTTGACAGCCTTTTAGCTGAAACTAGCATTAAAGAAAACAAGAATATACGTAGAAAGGTTGAGAACTTTTCAAAGCAAATGTTTACATTTAAAACATGCAAACTTCATTTTATATCTAACAGATCATAAATTGACCACACTGTACTTTTTATTATAGAAACTAGTAACTTTTGCCTTTGTGTTGCTGTTATGCACCCTAAAGCTATACATTTAAACTCGAAAATCATTTGCAGCGTTTTCCCTGAAGTTTTATGATTGAATTATACAGGGTGTCCCAGAAATAAGTGCAAGTATTTTAAGGGGTGGTAGATCTCGATAAAAGAAACATATTTTCTCTTTATCGTTTTTCAAATAAGTCCGAAATAACGGAGTTATTTTACTTTGAAAATTTCCAAAAATATAATTTTTTGCTAAAATTTTGAGAACCAACCACTGGATCTTTTCTGGATTTTCTTTCTTGTTAATTTAATCTTCTACCTATGTAGCCTTATTATCAAGAATTTCTTTTTAATAAAAACTAAAAAATTTCCAAAAAAATTTTCAAAGAATTCCTAATTTTCAAAAATTTTGCAAAAAAGGCGTGTTTCTGGGGTTGAACTATACTACCAGTTAAAATACTTGCACTTATTTCTGGGACACACTGTATATACCGGGTGCGCCGCAAAAGTGGCTCACCCTTTATTTTTTCAGATAAAAAAAGGAAATTTGGTATGTTAGGGTTACTTCCTGTTTCACCGGAAATGACTACAACTTTCGATTTATAAATGACCCCTCAGTATTTTTTTACTTTATTCGATTGAAAATGACACTTTGAGAATAGAATGACATATCATATATCAACTTTTGACATTTTTGCATATGGTTTATTTGAAATTTTAACATGCGGTTCATCACAACAATTTGACTCTAAATACCAAGTACATACCTATGTGGTACCAAATTATTCATAAAAAAATGGTTTTTCAAAATATGCTAATGAGCCATCCTTATTCCATTTGAAAAATTTGAGATATGATTAAAAATACGATTTGGGCATCTTTTAAATGGCCAGGACAAAACACGAAAGACGATCAAATCTATTTTTTCAAGGATCCTTGATTAAAAATTAGTGTTCTTAAAGGTACGCGCACACTGACCAGCGCCGCACTCGCCGCACGAATCGCACTTTTTTTTCTTGTCGCGCACACTCACCGGTACCGAACGCGCCGCACTCACCGCATTATTCGCTCTTTTGTTTCTTTTTGCCCCTACTACACAAGTATTTGCGGGAGTCCTGTCTGCAGTGATAAGCGTGTTTTTTTTAATATTTCTCGACAATGAATGACAACGGACAAGAAATAATTATGAGCTCCTTGCTAATAGAAGAAGAAGAAATCACGAGAAAGAATCGAAAGTTATGTATGGGTTCACAATATTTGCAAAAATTTTACCTTTAGGAGGTGAATTCCACACATTATTATCATATTTAATTGAGGACGAACTAAAATTTTTTCAATATTTCAAAATGAGTCATGAAAAGTTTGCGAACTTTCTTAGTATAATGAATTTCTAATCTCCTCTTCTCCTGCTAGTTCGATTCGGCTACCCACGTAGAGTGGAAGGAATTGCGTGTGAAGTCAGCAGCACTAGTCGCATTGACCGAAAATCATTCTGGCCCAACAATGCTGGCCGCATTTTCGTCGATGCGATTCGTGCGGCGCTGGCTAGTGTGCGCACCTTCATTGTAACACCACAGATTAGGTATATTATATGTATACAGATAAAAATCTTATCCCTAATTCGTGGTACGAAAATTGTTTTTTATGACGATGTGCAAACGAGTAACAGCGTAATAGAGAGATATCGCTAGACCGAATAGCGTGCATGGACGTTAATAAGACCAGGTATTATTTCATTTACGTGAGGTGGTATTAACTCTCTTCATTTATAGTTATCGGCGTTCGCGTAGTGTCTATTTAAACTTAACCTAACTTTGATTTTAAAACTTTGATTTTTTTTGTTTACTAGGTATTTTAAAACTAAAGGGCTAAGTGCTTATTTCCAGTGCTTTATTGTTCAACGTCTACCAATGAATTTAGGGCAACAAAACAACAAACTCTCTTAGAAGGGCTAAGTCGTCATCTGCTGTAAACCTAAGCCTTTTTATAGGTTCTTTAATATTGGAAGAGGTGGAATCCATATTTTGGGCCATATTTATTTAATTAAAACTAATCCCAGCTACTTAAATAACAAATTACCTAATAAAACTAAAGTAAGAATTCAAAACAATTCAAACATAATCTAAAATAAAAGATCTCGCCGGCCGGCCCCGGTTGTCAAATACCCGCACATGCCCATTTAAGCAATTTTTAAACGTTATTTAGAAATAGCGCTTGGTGTAATTGATCCGCAAATTACGTCAGGCGGTAACGTTATTAGCGGGTGTTGCGTTAAAAATTGACTCGCGCATATCGTAACCATGATAAGGTACGCGTAAATACTGCATGACGCTATTCGGTTTTCAGATATCTCTCTAATAACTGTGCCGGTCAGGCGCTGTGCACAATTTTAGAGGCCATAAGTGGGCGTGCTATGTGCGCAAACTAGTAACCTAACCAGTGCCCGATTCCGAAAATTGGTACCACGAAAAACAATAAAGAAAAAACAAAGTTTATAATCTGTATAATCGGTGGTAACACAAACAATATTTTTCTTCGGTCGATGCGGCGCGTGCGGTGCGTGCGACTCTGGTCAGTGTGCGCGTACCTTAATACAGCCATGGCACCCTAGATTGAAATTTAAAATTCTATTTTTAAGGGAAATTATCAAAAGTTGACATATAATATATTGATATGTCATTCTATTCAGAGTGTCATTTTTTATCGAATAAAGTAAAAATATACCGAGGATGCCATTTAAAAATCAAAAGTTGTAATCATTTCGGGTGAAATATAGGAAGCGACCCGAAACAATTGAATACGTCAATCAATCCTAATTTATGTCATATAGTAACATATCAAATATCGTTTTTTATCTGAAAAAATAAAAACGTTATAGAGGTGAGCCACTTTCGAGACGCCCTCGGTATACCAACATTAAGAGAGATAAAAAGAAACAGGTTGTTTCAAATATTTACTCTACAGTGAAGAGGACAAGTATTAGCCAGGTATAAATATAGATAAATAAATAAAAATCAAAAATTTTTAACGTATATTTTATTAAAAAAACAATTGCATTAAATATATTGCACATAAAAAAGGAAACTTTAGCAACACAGTTAATTATTCACATTTTGCTAGTCAAATTTGCCTTAAAATATAATCAGTCATTTATTTGCATCAATTTCATAGTTCAGTTACTTCATATCCAGTTTTTCGGTGTTAGGGATTAGACAGGACAACAGCAGCGCAACTAAAAACAAAATATAATTATATTTAATTAAATTGAGTAAAAATAACAGGTTTCAAAACACACCTCATATATTTATGAGATGAAATGAAAGATTTCATTTATGTATTAATCGCATTTTAACACACGCACTTTATTTTTATTGGATCATACGGTATATTTGCTTACCTAAACTGAGACTACCCCAAGTCAAGAAAGGCGGTGCGCAGCCAAGCTCTACCAACAATGGTACCATCAAATTGCCACCCACTGTTAGCAAACGACCAAGTAGAAGATTGATAGAAAAAGCCATTGCTCTAAAATGTTTATTATTCATTTACCAAATTTTATTATCTTACTTAACTTAGTGATTCCATTCTAACTGATCTTTTTTGATCAATTATTCGCTAATCCTGTGAGTTCAAGAATGACTCAAACTTTCCGCATTATTTATCTGAGTAATCTTTGTAAACATTAATATGTTGATGTAGTTTTTATATGAATTATCAGTGATTTCACTAATAGCGGGATCATAGTAAGTTCGTTAGTCAAATTCATAGTAAGTTCGTTAGTCAGTTGATAGTCAAACATTTAATCAGTAGTTAGTCAGACGGTCAAATGAAAAAAAAAGTGAGTTAACTGAGAAGTAATAGTACAGGATCCGGTTGCAGGGTAAGTAAGTAGTACATTCATCATGTAGGTAATCAAAATTTAATTTTTTACTTATGTAGGTATTTTTCCTGATTCACCGGAAATGATTGATTTTTACACCAATTTTGATTTTTAAATGACACACTCGGTATTTTTTAATTTTATTCAGTAGATAATGACACTCTGAATAGAACGACACATCACATGTCAACATAGTATTTTAAATTTCAATCTAGAGTGAAATGGCTGTGTTTATAACGACAATTTGACTCGAAATACCAATAATGTGGTACCAAATTATTTGTAAAAAAGGCTTTTTCCAAACATACTAATGAGCAACCCTTGTTCTATTTGAAAATATTAAGATATGATTAAAAATACAATTTAGGCATCTTTTAACCGGCCAAATCAAGACATGAAAAACATTAGATGATCAAATTTATTTTTCCAAGGCCCCTTGATTAAAAATTAGTATTTTTAATACAACCATGGCACATACGATTTTTTAAGCGAGAATGTCAAAAGTTGATATATGATATGTCATTCTATTCAGAGTGTCATTTTTTATCGAATAAAGTAAAAAAATACCGAGGGTACCAATTAAAAATCAAAAGTTGTAGTCATTTCCGGTGAAACAGGAAGTAGACGAAAACAGTTCAATACGTCTATAAATCCTGATTTATCTTATACAGGGTGGTCCGAAGTGTATTGTGGAAACTTCGTCAGCATATTCGTACAGACGAAGTTATTAATCTTCAAACCAGTTCAAAAATATGTAGGTGGCGTCCCATACAAGTAAGAATCATATTGATATTGAAATCAAATTTCTCATATCAAAAAACGCTTAGACACCAATTTGCATCCACATAATGAAAAAATTGAAATAAAAATTAAACTTTTACACACTGTATCTCCGAAACGAAGCATTTTTATAGGAAGAATATGCTGCAAAAGTTTCCCGAATACAGTTCGGGCCACCCCGTATACTCCCGTACCAAATCTCGTTTTTTAGGTTAACAAACAAAAAAAGTTATAAAAGTGAGCGACTATTGAAAAACACCCGGTATAGTGATAATATTCCACTAGCTAGAGCTAGTGGAAGAGTTACAACTACAAAGAGCTACAAAAAACTACAGTTAGAATGGAATCATTCAATATCACTTTTTGATTACCTTAGTGTGGTGGGAAATAAAACTACCACGATAGTTATAATGATGTCAAAGCATATTCCTACTGAACCGAAGAATATCGAGTACAGAGTTAATGTCATTATGTTGTTGTATGAAAAATATAAACAACTGATGGAGATACTTCCAGTTATATTTAGAACATCTGAAACAATATAACATCCTAAATATACGAGCACCGGACATAGAAAATAGAAGACCCACCAAAAATGATTAATTTTTAGTAATTGTTTATATATGGATATTTATTATTACATTAATAAAAAAAGTTTAAAATTTGAACGCTATCTACTATCGATATCAATAAACTTTTAGTTACGCCATCAAGGGTGTGATTATTAAATTTATTGTTGCCGACCATGGATCCGGCACTGGGCTGACTAACTGGAATTTAAATTTCCCACTGACGATTAAAGTTGTAGCTCTGCTGTAAAAAATGTCAAGTTGCCATATTTGTTTATTAATATTTTGATTAGTTTTGACAGTTTTATATGGAAGTTTTGTACTACGAGTCTTTTTTTGGTTTAAGTGGATTTTGTTGTGATGTTTCAAGTTTAAAATTTTGTATTGGCGGACCTCACAGTCGAAAATTGTTCTTTTTAGAACCGTTTGTAGTGCGAAGGGTACTAGATGCCGCAGACAGCCGTTGCAAAAAACTGATCGTATCCTTATTAGACCGAGAAAAATCAAAGATTTGCTTTGATTTAAGTAAGAACAATCTTCGGATAGTCATCGGGTTTTTAACGGGACACTGTCTCCTCAACGAACACTGCAGTAGATTGAAGTTGAGAAACAGCGGTGAATGCAGATTTGGTGGGGAAAATGGGGAAACAGCAGAACACCTTGAGTGCATCACTGAGTGCAACCGTTCGTGCCATGCTTCTGTGGAGCAAGAAAAAGAAGAAGAAGAAGAAGAAGAAGAAGAAGAAGAAGAAGAAGAAGAAGAAGAAGAAGAAGAAGAAGAAGAAGAAGCAGCAGCAGCAGCAGCAGCAGCAGCAGCAGCGACTTTGTATAAGCGACGAAGAGAGCAGATAGGCGGGGGTCACCTTTTAAAAGAAAAGAATGCGAGAAATAGAAATAGTCGAATATGAGCCGATTCCAAATGACTTCTTCATTTCTGGATAATGACAGGAGCTTGGAAGAATTGAGGTTGTGACATTTACATAGTTTATTTAAGTCTCCTGTTGTTTCCCACTCTGCCTTAATAAGTTTAGACCTTATCAAAGGGATGTAAAGGTGGTCTTTTTGAAAATTTTACAATTTAGGACACCATATAGGTCGCATCTCTGTTTTTCTGAAAGTTATCGAGAAAGTGAAAACTGTTTTTTTCGTGTTGGTTTGGTTGGTTAGAACTTTTTACGTAGAATACAATGGCGGTATTCTGTTTTTCTACTAAAAAATATTTTTTAAGATATGAACTAAAGTTATGCTTTCTCAAATAGAATAACTGGTGTATTTATAAATCATATGCTAGGCTTGCTATGAGCTTCTCAAAAATATATAACACTCTATATTTATTTTCACTTCTACTTTGACCACTTACGTCATTTTGTAACCTACCATTGGTAAGTATACAACAAATACCTTTTGGTGGGTGTTCTGTTACTTACACATTAATATTTTGGAATATTATGCTATTATGAATATTATTACACCCGTTCTTTATTGTAGAACTTTTTGTATCTACTAGTCTGATTTTTTTCATTCCGATGTTTTTTTTATTACGATTCACTGTACTTAAAACTCCTTCATTTTACTTCTAGGCGTTTTTTTGTATAAATAACTAGTTATAGTTTCGTTGAAATGCAATAAAGAACATTCGGGTGAAACCAAATACTTACTCAGTAAATTCTTCCTTCCAAATGTATTTATTAGAGTACCGGCCATTCCGTATGACATGAGTGTTGCGGTGCCAATTATAATGGAATTTAAGTATACTCCAAAGTTATTTTCCAAATTCTAAAATTTGAAGTTTTATTAAAAATTTAATTTTTGGTTGGAACCTTTTGCGTTGCATCAATTACATACATCAACCACAAAAACAAATATATATTTTTTGGTCGCATCAGAACCTTGACCTTTAAGTAAGTACTAGGGCACGAGAGTCACAAAGGCCACGAAAAGGCAGATGAAAACAGTGGTCTACATATCTCTAGAATGGAGGAAAAATTAAAAACAAGCAAAATAGTTTATAGTAGACTTTGCTACAATATACGACAGTCTTGATAAGCAAAGACGGGAAAATTGTTAAAGCTGTATTGAGTCTAGTAATAGAGGATTGGTAATAATCTAAAACTGATTGGATTGAGAGAAGAAGCCATGTGCAGATTTTGTCAATTTGAAGAAGAAATGACAGGACGTATTTTATATGAATGAAATATCCTGCTAAATAATGTAAATATGAGATATTTTGGAGGGGTCTCTGCAAGTTATTAGATTTTTTGAAAAGGATGGACTGGAGAATGTAACCTAGAATCAGAAAAGGACCACAATACATCCGATTCCCACCGCCATGCCACCTCAAAAATCTAATCTAATCTAAATAGCTTCATTCAGAACCTCGAAATTAGGGGTTTCACTTATTTTTTATTAAGTTTCATTAAGAACCTCGCAATTAGTGGAATAAATTAGTTGTTTCAATTACATTTTATACTTTTTAGTTTACGATTATTCAATATTCAAAAAACACAATTAAAATTAATAGAATATTCTATATATAATTTCTTTTGACGGAAGATAATCAAAGGCCAAACTGACATTTATCGCAAATTTTGAAGTATAGTTAGTGGAAAAGTTTGATAACTTTTTCTACTAATTTACAATGTCTACCACTAATTTTGATGTTCTGAATGCTTACATTGAAAATAAAGGAATAAACTTCTACGCTAATTGAAACCACTAATTGCGAGGTTCTGAATGAAGCTTTAAGAGTTTGCAATCATTCACAGCATCGAAAAATTAAAACTAAAATTAATAGAATAGCCTAGCAATAGAATTGCAGTAGTCAGTTGTATCCATAGAAAAAGTTTAATAATTAACTTCTTCTTGTTTCATGGCTCTGCTACAGGGCAATTGCCAGCTCAAAATAACTATAAAACACTAAACTGTTTTGCTCGGGTCGTAAAAATAAGGTACTACTACTAATAAACTTTTTCTAATGTCTAACACAATTTCTCTTGACGGATGATACTATTAGAGGCGAAAATGACATTACTCGCAAATTTTGAGGTATAATTAGTGGCAAAAGTTAAAAGTTTGTTTACTTTTTCTACTAATTACTATCACTAATTTTGACGTTCTGAATGTTTGCTTTAAAATTAGACGACCAATTGAATAACTTTGGTCAAGGATCAGTTGAAACCACTAATTTATTCTACAAACTTCCAGATTCTAATGCTGTGATGATAAAATGATACCGTTTAACTTACTACTGAACAAACAAATTCTTCCCCTTCTTCCAGTTTTGGCTTTTTCAGTATTGATAATACTTCGCATAATGTTCCAGATGAGTTGAATGTCGTTTCATAATCGTGCTCAGCTTGAAATACTTGGGGTGAATAGATGCGAGCTGTATTTAATCTGTGCATGTAAAAGATTATATGTTACTAATAATTCCATATTTATATGGTGATTCACGGCGATGGCACGTTACGCTTCGTTCTACGTGGGATACAAAAGAGCGAGATTCGGGCGGTGCGAGCGACGTGTATTCATCAAACAACGTTTTCTAACGAAGCTGTCCTAGGTAGGATAGTCGCGCGACTGAAGCGGCATCGCAGGCGATTGAAATAGGGCTCAAACTCACTGACGACCAGGTCGCAACGACCTGGCCGTCGGCTGACCGGATGTATTGCGTTTTTAGCTGCGGCCAGATGAACCACCAGTTTCAACAGAGTTGTCAAATCTAACGATTTTTTACGTTTTACCAATTAGAAAATATTGTTTCAGAAATGTTAAAATATCCGAGTTAACTAAAAAGCGAAGTTGCTATTCACAACAAACAAAAAGCATTGTGTACGCGCGACCGACAAAAAGGGAGATATTCTGTTTCTTTTTTCTACTGATATGGCGCCCTTATCGACTTTAGAAGTAAACATATTAGGGCCATCGTAAAAAAAGATCGTCAGACACTGGCTCTAAATATAAGCAGGTAGAAAGTTTAGCTTCCAGTTATTTCAATGTTTACAACATAACGAAGAATCTACAACAGTAATTACTTCTATTTTTATGAATGTTTAAGTTACTTTCTAATTTTTTTTCAAAATAATCTACCTAGTAGAAATATAGTCTAATGAACCCTGTTTGAAAAACGTTAAATTAAATATAATATTTCAAATACAGTTGTCCTCCTTGTACATGACTACAATACAACTAAAAAACTAATTTAATAAAAAAAACCAGTGGTTGTAGATAAACTTTAAATATTATTTTTTTTTATTTTTTAACATCGAAACTCAAAGGTATAATAACAGGTATCATACCAACCATAAATAGAGTATGTATGTCATATAAAAATGTTTTGAATTTTTACTAGAATCGACCCTTGATAAAAAAAAGGATTAGATTTAAGTTTACCTTTGATCCAGTCTGTATACTATTTCTTTGGATTTTCTGCACGTGTGCAAAAACTACACTAAAACACTATATCTTATAGAAAATAAAATATTGCACCTTCAATTTGAGGGATTTCATCTGAAAAATTATTAATTTGGAAGAAAACCGGCAACAAGCGGCAGAAAATAATAATATTTCCGTGCAGTCTTCTGGTCGCAACGACCAACGGACGGCCAGGACGTTAGTGTGCGCTATATCATTTGATTTAATGGTTTTAGAGGTAGCTGCGGCCTGGCCGGTGCTAGCTTCCAGCATTCGTTTTGTTGTTTCCTTAATTGGCCACACTTCACAGCTGTACATTGGTTATACTCTTTATGATGGTATTGTATATATATAGTTATATATATTGTTATTTATATTTCTGTATATATATATATATTCAATACCGTGATATATATCCTTATAAGTATATTTCGTTATATAATTGCTGTATCCATATATATAGCATTTATATATTTATATACCCAAATATTAATCGGTTTGGTTTGGTTTGGTTTTCTTCCCTTCTTCTAGTATTAGATCTTGTTGTTCTCCTCCGATACACATATATTTTGTTTTGTTAGTATTGATCTCGAGTCCCCATTTCTGATATTCTTCTATAAGCTTACGTGTCATATAATTTATGTCATCGTAATCTTGTGCTATGATCACCTGATCGTCCGCGAAGCAAAATGTGTAGAGCATGTTATACCCCATGGGTACTCCCGTATTTCGACATTTTTGCTTCCAACCTTTGAGAACTTGTTCCAGATATATCTTGAACAGTGTTGGTGAAATACAGCACCCTTGTTTCAGACCTTTGGTTCCATTAAATCCTGTTGTTAACTTTTTGCCGACTTTTATTCTAGTTTTTGTTTGCTTATATAATGATTTTACTGCTTTTATTAGCTCTACATGTATATTGGTTTTTCCATAGCTTCCCAAAGTCTCACAGGGGAACGCTGTCGTATGCCTTCTGCAGGTCCACGAACACAAGATGTAGCTTTTGGTTTAGATTGCTCTTTTTACTTATTACTTGAGTGACTGTAAATAAGTGATCCACCGTCGATCTTCCGGCTCTAAATCCTGCTTATTCTTCGGCTTCTATTTCTTGGTATTCGTTTTCGATCCTATTTCTCAAAATTTTTCCATATATTCGACTCACGGTGGCTGTTACTGATATTCCCCTGTAGTTTTCGCACTTAGTACGATCTCCCTTTTTGTATATAGTTGATAGGTAAGCCTCATTCCATTCTTGTGGTACATCCGTTCCGTTTATGCAGTCCTGGAATATTTTCCTTAAGTGTTCGTACATACGTTATATGACATACCTGCTCTATTTATGGTTGGTGTATTTATTTTTATTTTATTATACCTTTGAGTTTCGATGTTTAAAACATAAAAAAAATAATATTTAAAGTTTTTCTACAACCACTTGTTTTTTTTATTAAATTTGTTCTTTTAGTTGTATTGTAGTCATGTACAAGGACGACAACTGTATTTTAAATATGATATTTAATTTAACGTTTTTCAAACAGGGTTCATTAGACTATATTTCTTACATTATTTTGAAAAAAAATTAAGAAAATAACTTAAACATGCATAAAAATAGAAGTAATTACTGTTGTAGATTCTTCGTTATATTGTAAACATTGAAATAACTGGAAGCTAAACTTTCTACCTGCTTATATTTAGAGCCATTGTCTGACGATCTTTTTTTACGATGGCCCTAATATGTTTACTTCTAAAGTCGATAAGGACGCCATATCAGTAGAAAAAAGAAACAGAATATCTCTCTTTTTGTCGGTCGCGCGTATACAATGCTTTTTGTTTGTTGTGAATAGCAACTTCGCTTTTTAGTTAACTCGGATATTTTAACATTTCTGAAACAATATTTTCTAATTGGTAAAACGTAAAAAATCGTTAGATTTGACAACTCTTTTGAAACTGGTCGTTCATCTGGCCGCAGCTAAAAACGCAATACATCCGGCCAGCCGAAGCGCGACGGCCAGGTCGTTGCGACCTGGTCGTCAGTGAGTTCGAGCCCTAAGGATTAGTAAAATCATGAATTAAGCATTTTTAAAGTTGAAATTTAGGTTATAAGTTAACAAAATTCCATATATTCGATCAGTCTAAATAAACCGGTTGGATATTATACAGAGAGAGAAAAAATATTATTTATTTCCGTTTGTTATAAAATTGCTCAAATCTTCGTTATTTTAAATTCGATTCTATGTATATTATTTAAAAAATCAAAAGACTAATAAAATTGTTTTTCAATGATATATTTGATTACTATATCTAAACCTTCCGGTTTCTTTATTAGAGCTCTTTAAACATTAATAATTCTTTTACTACCTATAGTTTCATTGCAGTAATTTCGTTACCATGACAATTTTCGAAATTTAGCGCATAAGGAATGAGCATATCAAAAATCTTAGGTACACCGCGATAGGTCTCAAATATGGCCGACTTAAATTCCGGTTTATCAGTGTCGTTCTAATTTTATTTAAAAAATGTAAAACTATGAGGTAGACTCAATAATTTGTTGTTTTATTTTACGTTGTGAATAAATGTTGGTAGTTATTAAAATTGTTATAAAAATATATAATTCTAATAAAAATAGGTAAGTTATAATAAGTATTTATTAACACAAACATCCGATACGCTACTGAAGCAGGTAAGTCAAATTAACGTATCTAAATTCTTTGACATCTAATCTTTGACAAGTAATAAATAAAAGCTAAAATGCAAGAAAAATATATAATTTAGTTAATTTAAGTGAATTTCATAAGTGATCGGTTTACTACACGTATGTATATTATATAGTCACTTACTAGCGAAAAGTTGTTCCATTATTTCACTCAATTTTTGCCGAGATCTACCGCACGCTACACAACCAACTATTTTAGAGTCTTTTTCGATATATCGCGATCACTTTTAATTTAAGTTCTGGCACAATTTCCATCTAGATTTACTACGTTTATACAACTATCAGTAATAGAATAAATAATAAATAACATAATTCTAGCTCCGTAAAGACTGAGAAATCTAAAAAATTTCAAATCACATTCAAATGTGTCAAACGAATCGTCAAACAGAACTGTCAAGGATCCCCACCCTAGAGTGCTTTTTTCGCCCACCATGCATGAATACATGGTTAGCATTATGCTCCTTCCTTAGTCTTCTTATTCAAAGTAGCGCATAAACTCCAATTGATACTTATAAAGTTTGAATATTTGTCATAGTAACGATTTTCTTTAAATAAAACAATTATAATTAAATAGAATATAGAATTATTATCTTTTAAATGGCTTTCTTGAAGAAACCAGAGGTTTAGGTATAGGAACATGATACATCATTGAAAAGCAATTTTATTTGGGTTTCGATTTTTTAAATTATATACCATTAAAATAAGAATAATTTGAACGATTTTATAACAAAGGAAAATAATTATTTTTTGGCCTTGCTGTTTCATACCCAATCAGTTGATTTAGACAGATTGAAGATCTGCTTTGAGATCGACTTTCTTTAACCTAAAAACCAAATTTTAGCTTTCAATATGCCGAATTTATGATTTAACCAATGCTTATTCAAGATCATGTTTTGTCAATTTTACACATATTTTATTTTTTATCTCTATATATGTGGAATTAGTTTCAAAAATATAATAATATATCGGGTCACCGGGTGTCCCATTTAAATAGCAAAGATGCTACCAGTTTTAGCATGAAGCGGCAACACTGTATTGCTAAAAATAATTTAGACAGAGGGAGTAAGTGGTTTTAGCAAAAATCCAAATTTTCAAAAAAATCCTATTACCGGTTCTCCATAAACGTGCTATGGCCGTGAATTACCCTGTATTTTTCGATAATAATAAAACAGTTTTACTCGTAGATATTTTAAATTTTAACTATGATAATGAAACTTACGTTATTTGCAAAATAACTTGGGTGCTGCAGACTAAAAACAAATTTAATCGATGTTCTTTTCCGAATAAAGGCGATATTTGTTTCCAGCCCAATTTAATATACATTAACCAGGAGTGTTGTGTGCTGGGTTGCTCTTTTTCGGTCACTTCATGTATTAGTTCTTTAATCTAAAAAAGAAACATTTATGTCAAATATTATGTTTCCAAAATATATGCGACATTTTGTAAAGCATATTTGTTTAAATGCTTTACAGAAAGTTAGTTAAGAAATAGTAGTTTATACTCTAACTCGAACTTGGATAATAAATGTTCTAACCGCAATTGAAACTGCACTTGTGCTTTTAAAATCTCAGCGGGTGCAGCCTGCTATTGCTTACTATTTCAATATTGTAATATACCGTTATTCTTTGTGTATAAATGTATAACTTAAAAGTGGAAAAGCTGAGCTTTTTTTATGTTGGTTTATCTCACATCCGAAAACCTTTAAGACCCATACTCACACTTCGCTACTTCACTTCGTTCCTTCCTCGCGTCCCTTCGTCGAAAAATCATATATTTACTATGGGAAAATGTCGATTTTATGCGACTGTGTGTTCCTTCGTTCCTTTGTCAAAACGCTCCTTCGTCCGTTTACTTCCTCGAAACGCTCCTTCCCCGTACTGTCGGTTTTTGGACGAAGTAGCAAAGGAATTATCACGAACACAAAAAAATATTAAAATATATAAATCGATCTTGGATTTCATTCGTAGTTGATTTCTTGATTTGGCAGTACGTCTGTACAGGGTGTCCCATTTTCGTGTGTTTTGCAGGGTTTCTCGTTTATGAGTCGAGCTACAAAGATGCGGTTTTCACATTACGATGTTACTTTTTTATGAAACTAAAGATGCTACATACAGATATGTCCTAGCTCTCTTACTTTCTAATATACAGGGCGAATCTGAAATTATTGCATTTTTCGATTCCCTTTGTATCTCGATTATCTTATAACTTATCGATAAGGTGAAAACGGTGTCCCGTACGCATATTCGTAATTCGCCGACACATTAGCCGCTCGGATTAGGTCGGGACCAGCGTCGGACGGTTGATAAAATACCGACGTATTAGACTAGTCCCAACCCTTATGCGTCGGTGGTTTACGAGAGCGAAATACTGTTGACTGCATATTACATTATAGTATAGGTTATATTATATCGAGAACTGTCAGAAAATTATAAAAAAAACAGACTTGAACAGAAATTACCTTTAATATTAAAATTAAACTTATACAGTGTATTCCATTTAAAATAAGCAATATGATTTTCTAAAATTTCATGGGACAATTTTCAATTTGTCATTTTTAGTATAAAATTGTAACTAAAATTTTGTTAACTTAAAAAAATACTTTCTGTTATATAAATTATTAATGGCGAAATGAGGGTGGATTACCCTGTAGATAGAAATTACCTCTAAGGAAACTACTAATCAACTTAAGTGATTTTGCTTATAAAGCATATTATCAAAAAACATATAAATAGAAAAAAATGAAGACATATTTTTTTATTTTTTTGGATTTATTCACTCCTAATCCCATATTTTTGTTAATTTTGTGTCTTGAAGAAATTGTCTGATAGTTACTAATAATTTTACTGGACAGTCTATAGTTGTTCTGCGGCTCGCTTCCCTATTTTTCTTTTGTTTGCCATCAAAATGACAGTGATAAAATCTCTTAAATGCTTATTCGACGTAGTCTCAGAGCCAATCTTAAAATATTTTTTAAACTCTTTCAAAAATTTCTCTTCTAACATTTACCAAGGCAGTTATCTGTTCTATAATAAAATACCCTAACCTAACCAAACTAAACAAACTAAAATTTACTCGCTAACCAATTTTAAACTTCCATGCTAGAATGATTGGAGCCTTAATAAAGGGTAAGTTAAGTTTTAAGACTTATCGCAAGTACCGTATGATCGAAAAAAAAACAGCGTCTTGGAAATGGCGATCAATGACATTCCCTGTATAATTTTACATACAAAATGACAGCTATCTTTATTTCCAAGCCAATTCTGACGCCTTTTTAATGATACATTAATAACATTACTGTTATTATTTAATTTTTCTGCAAAAAGCAACATATCTAAAATTTGTTTTTATCAGTAATCTGCAATCTCAGTTTATTGGAGGCTATTTATTTATTAGGTACAGCTGGTAATGTCTTAAAATCCATGTTTTTGAATTAGCAAATTTCTCGAAATATGCTAAGCACTGGCAAACAATGAAAACCAACTACAAAAGATTACTGATTGATCATAAAAAATTACGAATACCCATTACAGATGCAGATCAAATTAATCCGATTTACAAACTTGCGAAGAAAGAAACAATATCTTGAGCGCATCGTAAATCGCCGACGTATTAGTCTAATACGTCGGTACTTTACGCAGCACCCGAACTAACCCGAGCGGCTAATGTGTCGGCGAATTTCGAATGCGTCCCGTACAGTTTTTCACATAGAATGCAGTGACGTAACTAGTTCTTCGTTAGAATCTGTCGATATTTTGCGATATTTTGCATATTATTTTATTTTCCTTGTTACGGGCTTTCTAAAATACTTACATATTTTCATAAACGGGGTAAAAATGCATTATTTAACTTTATTACATAGTCGGCCGGTCTAAATTAGGTAATCAAAACAACAACTAATTTATTCGACGTAAAATGTGGGTTATTGGCTATTCCACGCTAATTTTTATGTATAGCTATAATATAACTCTAAAATAAGAGCCGTTTAGCAGTTTAGCAGTACCGAAATAAATAAGTATACCTAGAGTATACATATTATAATTTTAGAAAGCTCATAACAAGGCAAATAAAATAAAAAATAATATATAGAGTGTCCTGTTTAAAAAAAAGAACATAAGTTTGAGTCATTTTTCGAAATAGACAGCTCCCAACGAAGAACTAGTTTCGTCACTGCATTCTACCTGAAAAACGAGACACGGGCGGTGGGTAAGTACTCAATAGGTAGAAAAAAACAAAATTAGGGTATCCGGTATATACCTGTACATTTAGATGAACAGTCTAATTTTATAAAAGGTATTACAGTTGGGGGTTGGAACCTTTGGTGTTACACAGCAAAATAAAACACTAAATCACCATAATACACCAAAAGGCTTTTACTTCTACACTGGACGCGCGTTTCGCTAACCAAACCAAACCAAACCATGTTAGTCCGTTTAGTTTATAGTTAGTTTAGTTTAGTTTATAATCATCTGCTGATGATGCTAACATGGTTAGCGAAACACGCGTCCAGTGTAAAAGTAAAATCGTTTTGGTGTCAATACACTGTAAAAGTAAAATCGTTTTAATGTCACCACAATTGGTGATTTAGTGTTTTATTTTGTTGATAAAAGGTATTTCCAATGACCGCATAGTAAATATCCGGTATAATACCAGAAATATACAAGTAATATCAGGAATATATCTACAATATTCCTAATATATATTGGTATATTCCTGTTCCCGGTATTATACCGGGTATTTACTATGCGGTCGTCGGAAATACCTTTTATAAAATTAGGATGTTCATCTAAATGTACAGGTATATACATATATACTCACATTTTATTTATCTACAAATTGGGTACTTACCCACCGCCCATTACTGACCCTTTTCACCTTTTTGATAAGTTATAAAATTATCGAGATACAAAGGTTATCGAACAATGCAAAAATTTCTACTAATTAAAAAATAAAAAGTATAAAAGAAAGAAATAAGAAATAAATTTGAACTAACGAGGCTAGGATAAATCTGTGTGTATATATAGCATATTTAGTTTCATAATAAGTAGAACGATGATGTGAAAACGGCATCTTTATATCGCTACTCATAAACCAGAAACCCCATAAAACACACAAAAATGGGACACCCTGTACATCTAGCAATCGCCAGTCGATATAAAAATAGATATCACACACAATAGTCTTAAAAATGGAAGGAAACGACAATATAGAAGAAATACATGTTCATATTTATGTAATCGTAGCGACAAAAATAAAAAAATAGAAATAGTGTGTATGAAGCCTTTACAAAAATATCTGAAGAAATGGGGATTGACATCAACGTTTAATTAGTATGTCATATTTCATAGTTTCGATATAAATAACATAATAAACTTTACTCTATTGTTGACTGGCCTATTCATACTGATATACCTTGTACATGATACTGAAATATTCGGATTTATTAAAAAAATTATATTATTAAAATTCAATTTTTATTTTTGACACGACAAAGAATTGCCGTTTTATAATAAAAATTTTAGAGGTTACTAGATATTTCGTAATAAACATGTAGCTCAGCTATATCACAAATATTTTGTGCTGTGTTGTTGCATAATCGACTAATTTCCAAGCATCTAATGGACGAAGGAAGGAAGCGAAGGGACGAAGTAACGCGAGGAAGTAAGGCGAGGAAGTAACGCGAGGAAGGGACGAAGGAGCGAAGTCTGAGTATGGGGCTTTAGTCCCCAACCTAGCATTAACATCAAAAACGTAAGATATTTTCAAAGATATTTAAACTCGGGATATTTTAGTGCCTACATGAAATGCTCAATTTTCAAGAAAAAAATAGTCTTAATTAGCTGCTGATAGTTTTAACATGGTTAGTAAGCTGTGTCATTTAGTACTACTAGTATAAAAAAATATACTATTCAGAGTATATTTTTTATTTAAACTTCACTGCCGGTTTTATACAGGGTGTCAAAAATAGTGTATTCGGTAGGCGATTCTACAGATCAAAATATAACAAAAAGTTTCTATGAACATATGCCCTGAAATGATTCGCGAGTTACAGCGTTACAGCCCTCGAAAATCTAATATGTAGGTACTATATAAAATTTGGTACTCTTACAGACATTTCAATGCCAAAGCGAATGGCGATAGTGTATAATTATTCTACAACAGCTCTGAAAGGGCGGTTTTTATTAGGGAAGAGAGTAACTTCTGAGAGAGTAATTTCAAAAAATGACATAAAAAGATAGGACTTTTTTGCGTAAAAAAGGCGCTCTTTGTTTAGTTCGAAACGATAAACGGTTTTCAAGATATTTGCGTTTAAAGGTTACGATGCATCGACATTAGTATTAGCGAAATGATGATATTAATTTCTTTACAATTTCACATTTCATAATTTCTCTAATACTAAAATCGATGCATTGTAAGCTTTAAACGTAAATATCTCGAAAAATCTTTATCGTTTTAAAGTAAACAAAGAGCACCTTTTTTAAGTAAAAAAGTCCGAGCTTTCTATATGCAGTGTTAAAATTACCGTGTCTAAAGATACCACCATTAGTACTCTCTAACATAATGGAAAGTACCCCTTCAGGGATGTTATAAATTTTACACCATCGTCATTCGTTTTGGCATTAAAATGTGATTCAAGAGTACGCCACGCATCACGATTACCGTAAATTCTTCGAGGCTGTAAAAGAAGTGTACGGCCCAACCAAGAAGGCAAGCTGCCCAATCATGGCACAAAATGGCGAACTTCTAAAAGAGGAAGAGCAAATCAGAAACCGCTGGAAAGAGCATTACAGCCATATCCTTAACCAAGAAAATAACCCCAATATGGAAGCGCTAAACACAATAAGTATAACAGCCTCGATGTATTAGATATCCCAATAACAGAACAGGAAATAAAGGCCTCCATAAAAAAGCTTAAAAACAACAAATCAGCTGGCTGTGACGCGATTCCGGCGGAAATCTATAAGTGTGCAAGTAAAGAACTTATTGGTCATCTTAAGGCTCTCTTCGATGTCATATGGGAAAGCGGAGAGGTACCTCAGGACTTTTGCAATGCAAATATAGTGAATATATTTAAGAACAAAGGAAGTGCATCAGACTGCGGAAACATACAAGAGTACCAAATTTAAAGAAAAACCATTTACCAATGTTCTTAAATATAAAAAAAAATATATTATTTTTATTAACCTTTTCGAGCGCTGTAACTTCCTCGGGAAGCATTTTAGGGCGTATGTTCACAGGAACTTTTATTTTTTTCTGTAGAATCGCCCACCGAAGTATTAGTACTATTTTTTGACACCATGTATAAGTTTAAAATCGAAATTATTTTTATAACTACCTGATGATATTTGAAACTCCCGATTTCATCATCTTCTTACATGTATGAACAACATTGTAAGAGACAGATCTATACATTACTATTGATAGGTTTGATCAAAGAAGATACCTGACAACAAAAATCTATGGCCATTTTGATGAGATTAAAGGGAGCAACCACCAAACGTTGTAAAAGAACCTGAATAAGATGTAAACAATGCCATGGTAAGGTGTCATTGTCCAGAAATTGAGTGTAAATTACGTATAAAGCTCTTTGTTATAGATGTTTACTTAATAGACACCTTTATTTAATGTAGTTAGCGTCAGAAACAAGATTTGGGTTGCTACAACCAATCCTACAAGTAAAAATATTTGAACGAAGAGAAACAAGAAGATTCAGGATATCGTGGCTCAAGAATATGAGGACCTAGTTCAATAAAACATCTCAGAACTCCGCATTGCTGCAAAACAAAGTCAGGATCGCGATGATGATCGCCAATATTCGCAAACGGATCGACACCCTCAGATGAAGGAGCAACACATTATTTTATAGAAGAATTGATGAAATTAGATATGCAGCAATAAAACAGACAATACAATATATCCTATATTAAGTTATTCTGAGAGACCAGCTTGAATACTTTTTGAAAAACGCTACTGACTCTTGGAAAAAAGACAAATACATGAGTTTTGTGCTTTTCGTGACTCATTAACCTTAAGTTACCACTTTAAGTGGCCTTAAATTAATCATTTCAGATCTGAATTGTTAAAGAATAAAAAATAATGGTATGGTTGGTGTATAGGGGGCTAATAGTATTCTGTATTGTTACTTAACATACACGTATTATATGACATTTTTTTCGCAATGAGATATACAGGGTGGCCCGAACTGTATTCCGGAAACTTCGGCAGCATATTCTGCAGATAAAAATAAGTAATAAAGTTTATATAAATGTATATCCTGAATTGCTTAGTTTCCGGGAGATACAGGGTGTAGAAGTTTCATCTTTATTTCGATTCTTTCCAAATAATTTCTGAAGTAACGTCAATATTTGGATGAAAAGTGATGTCTGGGAGTTTTTAGACAAGAAAATTTTTATTTTGATGACTCCTATTTGTAGGGGGTGTCACTTACATGTATTTTAACTTGTTTTGAAGAGTTATAACTTTTCATCCGCACCTGTTTAAAACTGCTGAGTGAAAAAATATACATTTCCGTAACATTTTACGTAGAAAAAGCACTGGGTAAAAATCGCTAGAAGCAACTCAAGATATTTAGAACGGAAATAGTAAATACGTATCATTATTGGCAAAAAAATAAACACTGAAGTAATAAATTCTTTGACTTCTTTGACTGAAGTAATAAATTTGGAAAATTTTTGTTTTTCTAATTAATTAAATGTTTTTCTGCGAAAAAGTTCAGTCTAATAACTGTTTAGTCAACATGTTTAATTTATGTCAATGGTGACAGGTATTGATAATTTCGATTCCAAATATTTCGAGAACAATAATTACTTGTAGCGATTTTTACCAAGAGACCTTCGTTACGCAAAAAGCGTCGTAAATGTATAGTTTTATACAGGTACGGAGGAAAAGTTTAACATGGACTCATATTGACATCAAAATCAAATTTCTCATATCAAAAAACTCCCAAACACCAATTTTTGACGTTACTTCATAAATTATTTGCAAAAAATTGAAATAAAAATGAAACTTCTACACCCCGTATCTCCGATACTAAGCATTTTAGGACATATATTAATACGAATTTTTTACTTATTTTTATCTGCAGAATATGCTGCCGAAGTTTCCGGAATACAGTTCGGACCACCCTGTATATTGTGGAAACAAAACTGCAATTTATGAGAATATTGTTAATTATGTATTCTCCTAGTAATGATTGCTCATTTACATTTCGTAAGTTTCTGTTTATTTTTAATATTAATAGTATAATCATACATATTTGTGTGCTACAATACTTACCGGATAAAATTCTTCACTTTGTCCCGTGTTTATTCTATAAACCTGCCTAAATACCTTTAAAGCACTTTCGCTGTCACCACAGCTCATTAAGAATTTCGGGGTTTCAGGCAAGAAGTAGAAACCGAGTGCAGCTAAAGCAGGTGGTATCCCGCTTATTAAAAATAATAAATTCCAGGAATAATACTCTGAAAAGAATGATTTTACTTTTGCAACTCGTAAGGGAATTTCTCGTTTTTGTCGTATATCAAGGAATTTATTAATACTGATATTTTTACCTCTTGTCTATACATTTTTAAAAATATCTTTAAATTGATAGCAGTACTAAAAGCTATTTTTACTTTGTAAAATATAATAGTCCTATTTTTCACTATGAATCATAAAGTTAGTACTTTGTAATTGCCTGATATTTTTAACTCTGAGTTTAGATAAATATTACATATTACGAGTTGTAGATAAAACTTCTGGCGTTAAATCTTACCTAAAATCACTTAATTATAGATTTTTAAAGGGAGTATTAGTAATCATTTTTATACAGTTGTATAGTCGAATTATAAATCTAGTTTATATTTTGCCCAATCTAGTCCAACGTTTTCCTAAAAACACTGCAAGGAAAGCAGAAGAATCAGTTGAAACTATTGAAGTACCAGAAGAGGAACAATGGTATAATTAAAACAATAAAAGGTCGACAATAAAACGTCCATAGACAACCTTCTCTCATTGCCCAGTTCCAGATCAAGATATAGTAAAACATGTATTTCGAAGATAAAATAACCGGCAAAAAAAACCGGCCACTAAAAACTAGTCCCAATTTCAAAGTTGGATTTCTCGCGAACCATTCATTAGATTTTGATGATTTTTTTTATAAATTGTAAATTACTTCCTTCTTAACGGATGCTACGTCAGAAATTTTTATTCCGAATTTATTTTGACCATATACAGGGCACAAAAATTAGATAAAGTTTTTTGCCCGAACTTTGTAACACGCTGTAGGATGCAGCAGCTGTAGTAGGTATTGCTAAATCAAATCATATTGTAGCCTCATCCTTTGTGAGCATTTTGTTTTTTTAATCACGACATTATCTCTTTTTTTGTATTGGAGATACGCTGTTTTAAAACGAAAGTCTCGGAAAAATGCTTCGCAGACAGAAAGTTTTATGTGTAAATAATCAAGGCAACGGTTGTTAAATTAAAAATGCCATTATCTGTGACGGATGTTGCTCGTATTGTGGCTTTAATTAAAGATGGCCGAAGTCAACGTTATGTGTCCGATACCCTGGTTATACCTCGAACAACAGTCCAGAATGCCTGGAAAAGTATATTGAAACGAGAAATTTCACCAGTTGAGTGGGTTCTAGAGGAAAACAGAAGTAATGCAATTGACGACCGCTTTATTGTCCTGAATACTATATGAAATCGTAGAATTACAGCGTTTTAGAATCAACATCTGCTACAAGCCGTGCGTAGAACTCAAGTCAGTGAGAGAACAATCCGACGAAGACTAAAAGAAAACAACTTGTCTGCAAGGAGACCTGCCACAGGACCCCAGCTACTTGCAAGATATCGTCGAGCACGTCTTCAGTCACGGATGAATTGCGGTTTTGCCTGCGAAGCATTTTCCGAGACGTTCGTTTTAAAGTAGCATATCTCCAACACAAACAGAGATAATGTCGTGATTAAAAAAATAAAATGCTCACAAAAGATGAGGCTACAATGTGATTTGATTTAGCAGTAGCTACGACAGCTGCTGCACCTACAGGGTGTTACAAAGTTCGGGCAAAAAAACACGTCTTATTGTTGTGCCCTGTATATGCTCAAAATAAATTCGGAATAAAAATTTCTGACGTAGCATCCGTTAAGAAGGAACTAATTTACAATTTAAAAAAAAATCATCAAAATCTAATGAGTGGTTCGCGAGAAATACAACTTTGAAATTGGGACTAGCTTTTAGTGGCCGGTTTTTTTTGCCGGTGAGTGTATATCAAAGATTAAATTAGAAACTAATATAAGAGAATTTGCAGTAATAAGGGAGGGGTACCATATAGTGCCCTTACGGCCATGTAAAGGTACCCCAAATTTGGGGTACATTTTCTAGAACAATATTTTCTGCAAACAATTACAATGCACAAAAAGAAAAGAAAACCGATCAACAGTAGCCTATAATCACATATTTGCATATTATAACACCTAGAGTACAAGAAACTATTATTTAATGAAGATGTAACGACCCAACCAACCTAATGTAAAGTAACAAATTCAATTGCAATACAGAAATGCAATACTAAATAATGTTTACATTTATGTTGGGTTCATTCCTGCAATCTTTTGAGAATGCCGTTACTGAAAACTGAAACACAATATTTAAAAATTAATTGATCTGTATTATGTAAAAAGTTATTGGGTTCAGATCCAAGAAAACAAATTGTACAGTGGCTTTTTATTTAAACTGAAGTTTACCTAGCAATAAAATAATGCTAACGATGCGTTTAGACGGTGCCGGTGGTTATGTTGGCTTTCTTCGATGCAATATTGCAAACAACGTGACACGCTAGTTATGAGCGAAACTGGTCTTGGCGAAAAAGCATTTTTATATATATTTTTTAGTGATGGGAAAAACCGATAAATTTTAATAATCGAGTAGTCGAGTTTCAAACGATTTCAATAATCGAGCGATCACTCGAGCGAAATTTCGCTCGTATTTAAATATACGGTTTTTCGCCGTCGCCGTCGTCACTTGTGCTCGTAATTAGCGATGGGAACTATCGAATGAATTAGACTATCGAATGGTTAATGAATGAATGATTTCAACTATCGAATGGTTTTATTCGAATAAAATCATTCATTCATTTGTATACTAAAGCATATGTGACAACCTCGCCGTGCAACTAAATGGTTATCGTTGAGCCACGACTATAGAATGCTTTTGATAAATGAAATTTAGTATTCGTTTGATTTTTGTATGCGTTAGTGCATTATTAGTTCTTCCAAATTCTTATAACTTCGCCGTATAAATACTGTGCTATTTTTGCGTTTATTAAAATAGTTAAAATACTAAAATAGTATTTATTTTTAATTTTATTTATTGACGATTGAGTGCATGTGCAGGTGGTCAAAATTTTTCCGAAAATTTGTGTGATTTTCCGTAGTCCGAACTTTCAATTATTTAATTTTATATGGTCTATTTTTTAATGAGAAATTTTGAGAAGTAGCAATTTTTAAGAGAGATGAGATGAACTTACAATTAATTTTAAAAATACATATTTGTATTTTAGATGTTTTAATAATATGAATTAGTTGAACTTAATAATCATATTTTAGTAATGTGGTTAAGTAAATGGGGTTATCGAACTCAAACTATGGGGTGAGAAAACTAAATTGAAAGTTTTATACGTGCCAATTTAAAAAAAAAGTTAACGATGTTTGTATTTTGTTTATGCTAATTCTCTTACATGTAGTTTTTTGCGAAGAAATATTTCATTTATTTTTTAAAGTAAAAGCCAGTAAAAGTAAATATAATTTTTAAATAGTAATATAAAGCACCTAATATAAATAATTTTGATTTCTAATTTTTTATTTATATTTTCTTCCATTACACTGCATGCTTAGAAAATTAATAAATGTTTATATTTCATGATTTTAAAATTTGTTGTTAATATAACAAATTAGTTCTGTAATTATTATTATTTAATAAACCAACGTTGCTACACACACAAAAATTTAGAGACTATATTATTTTTAAATAGGATCTAATATATATAATTTTGACATCTAATTTCTTGTTTATATTTTGCTACTACTTAAAAAAAATGTTTATATTAAATGATTTTAAATTTTGTTGTTAATAGGTATAACAAATTATTACTGTTATTATTATTTATTAAACCAGCCTTTGCTTAAAAACATTAAAAATCATTCTCCTACATCCAAAATAACAAGTATTATTGCAGTGTAACAACAGAATATTAATAATAAAAATGCAGAATATATAGACATACTATCCCTAACTAACTAAAGTCAAACAATAATATTCTTTGCTAATATAAACTAATACCAAAATATGGCAACAGCGCCCTTCATAATGTATTTTCTGTGTAAATACTAGCACCTCAATAAAAAAAATAATGTGCCCTTATCTATATCTGACTCCGCAAAAATCAAACATGTCGGCTTCTTTCATAGCAATGCCACCGACCGCTGTCGGGTTTCTCAGGAAAGAAACCTACGTCGCCGGGCGACAACTAAAATTCAGTTAATATTTTATTATAATCGATCCTGACGAATAAATGAATTTCATAAATGAATGAATTTTATAAATGAATGGTTTTTGCTGCCGAATTACTAGAATACAATATTTCAAGGCAGATGACGGATCTATTCGATAATTTTTATTCGAATAGTTTTCAACGAATGTTTTCTTACTAACTATCGAATTATTCGAATGAATTGCAACTATCGAATGTTTCGATAGTATTCATTCGATAGTTCCCACTAATACTCGTAATGCCAAGAAGTAAGCTGCATGCGCAGAGCGCATATATAACGTCGTATAGTCCTATAATTAACAATGCGGTCCCAATCAAAAGAACAATTTGTTGTTTGAAGATATTTTACCAAAAACACTGATAAAATATTGCCAATCTGCAATGCATGTAGCAAATTCGTTCGATAGGATTGCTTGCGTTCGTCGCTCGTTCATAATCGAGCGATGTCGGTTATTTCAATAATCGAGTACTCGAGCGTATTTTCGCTCGAGTTATCCCATCACTAATATTTTTTCCTATTTGTTTAAATTTATTGTTTTAATTTATTGCCAATAGTGTTTCTAACTTTTACAAAAATAATTTACAGTAATCTTATGGTGTTAATACAGGTTGGTGAGCAGCCAATAACTCAAAAAATAATAACAGGTTTTCTCCATAACCTAAAATATTACGAGATAGATTTTGTTAATCATGTTGGTTGGCATTATTAATGATTTTTAAGCGTGATAGAAAAGAAAATGTGAAAAATGTATTGCTGTAGTTTGAAGAAATTATTTGGAGGAAAACCAAAATGAAAATGAAATATCTACACCTGTATGTCCGAAACTAAACATTTTAGGATATAAATTTATACGAACTTTTTTACTTATTTTTATCTGCAGAATATGCTGTCGAAGCTTCCCCAATACAATTCAGACCATCCTGTACATAAAAAAATTCTGCTGATTCGATACATAGGTACAGAAAAATAAAAAAATATATATACACATCATGCGGGCACCTCTTACTTTTGGGTCGGTATTTTCATGTGTAGAAGTAAATTGCATAGAGATCTTATTAAGTCGGAGTGAGACAAATGCGAAAATGTTCTGTTGCGGAGTTGCCACAATTCGCCGATACGCCTTTCCCTACCAAGTAAAGTAAAATCACGATCGTAAACCGCTTATTATTAAAATATTTTTTTCGAAAAGATAACTAGATAAAATCATTAGATATGTTTCTGAGCATCTCATATGGCATTATAAGGATTTCATTAGGGTATCCATTTTTCTATAACGATAAAACGTCAGTAATCGCGATAATTTGAAAACTCAACTTTTTAACACATAATACACGATAACTCAAGAACCACTTTAGATATTGAAACTTCTTTTTTTATTTTGAAGTTCGGATCTTTTACAAGATGTTTAAATAAGAAAAATTCGATAGGCTTGTTTTTTTTTCCATTGAAAAATTAAAAAAAGCATCCATTTACTTTTAGTGCATAGCAATTCTCAGCAGTCGTGTACCTTTTTTATTTATAAAGATTTTCACATACTGTCTGCGAAGAAAATATAGCAGAAATATTAAGAAAGTTTGTTAAAAAAACTACAATCAATTAATTTTAATGGATTTCGAGATATCGATTTTTGAATTCAGCGTTCTAATAGCGTGACCCTGTCGAACACCAATTCAATTCCACTTATTTTTACCAAAGGTACAAGTGTTAGGTAGTAGAGTAACTTGCACTTAAATATTTACAAGCTATAGAGAAAATTACAACGACTCGTTAATAAATAAACAAATAAAGTATCACGAGACGTAATTAAATCGTGAAGCTGAAGGCATGATGTGTGGCACTTAAATATTTACATCCTTCCCTAGAATTTTAAGTACTGATGGGGTCGATTGATCGACTGCGACGAATCTGCTATATCCCTTTCCACGTCTCTTAGCAATGTGCTCAGTTTCTCGGTTTGTTTCATACGTTTGGCAACGTTTTTGCTGTTCTCTCTTTGTTCTATACATTATAAACTCATGGTACTCTTCTTACATACGGAAATATTGACCCAAAACTAACCTTTGGCAGCCCTTAGTAATATTGTTATTTTCTTTTAAGTTTCATTTGCATTAAATTACAGAAAATGCTATTTATTTAAAGATTTTCTATGTAGAAAGTGCCTCTATGAAAAATCTATTAAAAAAATGCAAGACTTGGAAGAGTCTTGCAACAAGACCGAAAAAACACCAAGACTGGACCCTGTAAGACAAAACTACTTGATCGGCTGCAAGACCAAGTCCAAAAGAGTCTTAAGCTTGGTCTTGCATTTGCTCATCACTAGTCATGCCCCATGAAGCATGTCTCGCTCTGTTTACACGTTTTTACATACATTCTGCAACATTGATATTCTGAGACGAATATTGTTACAACCTGTGGCTATACCCGCCGCTGTTACAATTTTAAAAACAACAATAACAAATTCGTAAAACATGGGTTAGTTTTGCACGTTCAAAAACGATAAAAAATCCCCCTGTAACCGAAGTTTGTTAGGTAAATTTTTATTTATAGCTCTGGGCCGATACATCGTTTTACATGGGTGACCTTCAATAAATTAGAGACAAGCTGCAATTTTGCATGGAGCTTCATTTTGTAGATCTTTAAACATCCTGAAACTCCTGCGATGAACCGTTGAGCCCGTCACCCCAAAACCACCCCTATAAGGGGTAAAAATGGCCCTTTTTTTTACTTTTTCTTCAATAACTTTAAAACTACGAATTTTAGGAAAAAAAGTCACTAGTAAAAAATTGAAGAGAAGAAAATTTCCTACCACATAGGTAAAGAACCAAAATTTTTGGAATTTTAGTGGCGCAGGTGCGAATTCTTTAATTTTGCCAAAAAATTTATAAGGATACAAGTTCCTATAAAAACGATCTTTTTAATAAAGGTAAGTTACCAGTGCCAGTGGGGGAGATAATTTTTTTAAATGTGCGTTTTTTACATTTTAAAAACATTGAATAAGAAAAATTGCAGTTTTACAAATAATTTCCCATGAAATAGGTATATTGAAAAATTTTAATAACAAAATAAGAGAAACCTTAGCTCAAAAATAGGATAACTTGTCTTAAGGATAGTCCTCATTTACTTCCACATTTGTTGGGTTCATACATGTAATGCCATTGCATTGACCACATGCCATAGTACAGGTGAGCCCCATTCGCTTGCATGTACACGCTTTTTTACAGCCTCCCGAAGAGCAATTGCTTTTGTTGGTGTTGTTTGACAAAAAATCTGCCTTTGGTAACTTCACTGCAGATAAATTCGAGAAAGATACAATTGGTACCATTTTTTTACCTGGAGATCTGCGATTCTGCTCCACAATTTTGGTCTGTATCTCTTCATAGCCATCAAAAACAACAGTGACATTTTTGCCATAGTGATATGTTATATAATTATAGTATTGAGAAAACAGATCTGAAAATATCGCAGGGTACAAGCTTGGTTAAATAACAATTTACCACCGCAAGATTGGGGTTGGAATCTGAAAAATCGGGAAATGAATCCAATACATTCAGACCAGCCCATTGCTCCTACATGGGTAGAGAAAATTTTTTTGCCATTGCTCCTCGGGAGGCTCTAAAAAAGCATGTAAATGCAAGCGAATGGGAAATTATTTGTAAAACTGCAATTTTTCTTATTCAATGTTTTTAAAATGTAAAAAACGCACATTTAAAAAAATTATCTCCGCCACTGGTAACTTACCTTTATTAAAAAGATCGTTTTTATAGGAACTTGTATCCTAATAAATTTTTTGGTCTCGAGATTTATCTCAAAAATGCTTTCATTTGAAGTTAAACACAGATCCTCCTAAATTAAAGAATTCGCACCTGCGCCACTGAAATTCTAAAAATTTTGGTTCTTTACCTATGTGGTAGGAAATTTTCTTCTCTTCAATTTTTTACTCGTGACTTTTTTTCCTAAAATTCGTAGTTTTAAAGTTATTTAAGAAAAACTAAAAAAGGGCCATTTTACCCCTTATAGGGGTGGTTTTGGGGTGACCGGCTCAACGCTTCATCGCTGGGGTTTCAGGATGTTTAAAGATCTACAAAATGAAGATTCATGCCAAATTTCAGCTTGTCTCTAATTTGTTGAACCTCGGCCTGTATAGGCTCTGGGCTATTAAGTCCAAAGTCATCGTGACGTTTTTGTCCCTGATGGATTCTGAACCCAACTATTATGTTTTTAATAAAAGATATATTAAGTACTGCGATTCAGTGGTGAATTCATAAATATAAACATTATTCAGACATACCTATCATATAACAACAATTCATATAAGGACAGCCAACTGCCAATTTTGTAGTAGATCTAGTTTATTAAAACGTAAACAATTTTAAAATTGTTTCATTTCAATGATTTTTAATAAATTATGTTTCTAAAGTTTGCGATACATTTATTTGTTAAGACATTTTTTTAATTTTTAAAGATCGAAATTTTTAATAATTTTTGAGTTTATATGTGCGAATAGCTTACCTATTAACCCTAAATTGATGTTAATGTCCAAAGCCATAATACTTCCAGATATCAGTGGTATAATTATGTTTGCTGTACCGAACATGGCTCCATATGCCATTTGGAGTCTTCCTCTGTATTCAGTTGAGTGGAATTCGTGGAGGTAGGTGTTTACTGCTACGTATACTCCACCAGCTCTGTGTATAAATATATCAACTTTAATTCATAAACTCAGTATATTATAAACTTTATAATACAGGGTTAATCGAGTTGTTTTTTACCCTATTTTTAAAATATTATGCTCTTAAAAATTAACCAAGGCATATGTTGACATGAGTCAAAAAATTCACAGTCCTTTACAAAGATGCAACCGGGGGGGCATTGAAAATGATGAATAAAAACGTAAAAATATGATTAGTGTTAATATGAGTGTATTACATACATATGTTTAAATAACGAACTTAACAAAAAACAACAGATTTAAAGATTCACTGAAAAAGTAGTAATGTTAAAATTAAATAAAACATTATCAATAATAATTATGCGATCGCACCTATCCGTAAAACAAACAAGCAAAAAAAAGAATGCTTACGGAAAGTTACACTTTACGATATAATTTTTAACTGTTAAAGGCAAACCCCATTTAAACACAAAACTTTTAATACCTACTACTGTATCTAAAAGACTTTTTAAATTACTAAATTCTTAGCCACGCTTCTGTTTTTCTTGGCTGTTGTGCGTCACGTCACAGATTAACAGGCCAACGTTTGCACCACAAGGCGATGCTGCAGACCACTAGGGTAGACCGGTCGTAGAATTTATGTTATACAACTTGTAGTCAATCTACACAAATATTATCAAAAACTTTTTTCTTTTAAAATGTGTTCAGATTTTTGTAAAAAGTATAAGTCAAAATCATAAAACTTAAATTTGATATGAGTTTCTTAGTTTTTAACTAATATAGTGGCGAATTACAAAAATTCCTTTTCAATGAAAATTAATGAGTTAAATAAAATAATTTAATAAATTACTAGCTTTTCTCACGACTACGTTCGCGTTACACCTCGAATCGTTCATGCATTGATTTAAATGATTTTTTACTTCTTTATAGAGAGCTAGTGAGCATAGATGTTTTTTAGTTTTCATCTTTTTTTTATTTATTAAGAGCACTAATACTCTCTTTATAGGTTATTTTTATTCTTTGAAGGATAATTGAGGAAGATATATTTCGTTATGATGTCACTAAATAAACCCTTGTATAAAATTTTATACTGTCTGGTTTATAATGTTATATTATTGCATTTTCGTACAGCAAGCTTTCATTCCCTATTCTACTCCCTAAGGGTATAAATTTCATAAATTCGCTTTACCTTTGTGCCAATTTTTTGTGTGTATAATCCAGAGGTCACCAAGTTTTATATAAATTTTTACTAACTTTACCCATTTGGTTGATGAATTTCAAAAATTTCTTCTAATTCTTTTTGTAGGATTTCATTCTTCTAGACCAAATAGTAAGGAATTTTCATACAACAAACTGTTCCGTGATAATTTTACCCTCTAAGAGGATGAATTTCCTAAAATCGCTTTGTGTAGCTAATTCACTAATGTCGTTTAAACGAACCTTTATGCTAATATTTATGTATGTAAAGCTGGCGGCATGAATTCACTCTAAAATATCTAAAAACGTAATATATAATCTATCTGACACACCACTGACAATGACAAATAATTTATTTCTGGAGGTATTGTGTGTAGGTGTTTTTCAGGTATGTTTTAGTATTTAGTCGTTTTACACAAAGAAATAGCCATTAAGCACTATAAAAATACTTCATAACAAATCTACACATATATACCTTTCATTTAAAAAAAAGAATCATCAAGATTGGTAAAGCGGTTTCGGCGGGATGGATGCAACAAAAAAACCCTTTGAGCTTTTATATATGTATGGATTAATTATTTTTCCAACATATTTTACTTTGCAAATTTTCAAGCCTAAATGAAAAAAAGAAACAATTTAAAAGTTTCGCTTATGTCTTGACAAGGTATCAAAGCAAACCCCATATTTTTTGCTTTTAAACTAATAAAGATATATCAATAAACAATTAGCGATGTAATGGTTTTTGCGCGCGCTGGCCGACTGCCGCCGCTGCGCCGAGATTTCCTATACCCTTATATATATGACGTCATGGTGTGGCAAATGTAGCATTTTAATTCGATTTGGGCTCCTTTATATAGGATAACAGAAACATTTTCAATGTTAAAACAAAATTTCCCAGGAGACATGGTTCTGATCAAAAAATAATGTTTTAGGGAAAGTTACTCACGTCACTATTGCACAGAGTGTTTTTATGTTAGGGTAGAAACAAACCCATCAATTAACCCTTATAATAAGCCAAATACTAAAGTTTATAAAATACTGAGTTTATGAATTAAAGTTGATAGGCTAATAACTAGACCAGGGTCGATAATTTTTGAAACCAAAAAAAATTATAGTAGAATGAAACTCATTAAAAAAGGTAGATAATACAGCAATAATGAAAGGAAAAATAAATTACGGTCAATTTGAGTTTGGGAAGTAGGAGGGGGTGAGTTTTTAACGGTAAAAAATCGGTTTATGTCGATTTTCAGCAGAACTACGAGTCCCATGGAAAAAGTTAAAAAGCAAAGTTGTAGAAAATAAAAGATCTACAACTTTTGTATTTACTTTTTTTACATAACCTCAAAATTTATGTGAAAATTCAAATAACCAAATTTTTGGTTTTATTTTTATCTTTTACAAAATTTTTTTCCATGAAATTTGAGTGATAACTTACCTTTTATATACCAAACATACTGTAATTTTTTGATTTAAAATATTTATTTTTTTACCTTATTTTAATTTAATAGTAAAAAACCACCCTAATTTTCAATTGAAAATTTACGTGTCAAAATATCCGCTTTTTTTAAAAAGTCGGTGGGCTTTTTGTTCGTTGAAATCTCTATTTTCTGATAATGCAAAAAATAATATACCTTGCTATGGTAAATGTTCTCAGAAAATGCAAAAAACCAAAAAAACTCGAATCCTAAAATTTTTTTTTAATCATTATGTTCCACTTTAAGCTTTTTTATTAAAATTAACACTTTAATTACTCGTATAACGTAAGATTCCATGTTACATTAATTAACAAAAAAATAATAAATCGAAATATACTACTATCTGGATTTGCCGGAAAAGGAAAGAAAACTATTGTAAATTCATTATTAGACGCTAAAAATTTTTCACATTTGGTCAATATTTTTTATCAAAAAGATGCAAACAAACAAGATATCGTGAAAAATGGATTAAAATTAATCAAATCTATTTATAAGTGTAAAAAGGATAATATAACACTGAATCAATTAAGATGTCAAAAATATCAATTGGCAAAAATTAAAGCATCTTTTGTATTAGCAAATCTTCCACCCACAGAAGGTGCAGCAGAACAACATTGTTACAGGGCATATTATCAGCTTCAAACTTGGCTGGGTAACGAACTAACAGCAACAGATTGGGGCTGGAATCTACGTAGCATTATGCCCAAATTTACAGATGAGGAATTAATTCCGGAAATATTGCTCAAAAGTATTTGCTGCAGCTGTGAAACTGGATGTAACAATTTAAAATGTGGCTGCCGAAAACATGGTTTAAAATGCACAAATTTATGCTCAAATTGTCATGGCTCTGAAAAATGCTCTAATGTGCAAAAAAAAGCCTACGAGGAACTGAATGATTCCGATGAAATTGTGGATGACGAAGCAATTCAGACTGGAAATAATATCGGAGACGAAGACGGTGATGGTCTTGAAGATTTTGAAGATCTGCTGGAATTGGAAAGTTTTGTCTAATGTAACGACGAAGGAAGGCCATCAAAGAGACAAAACCTGATGTATTAAAAAATATTATCTAAATTCAAGAATACGATTCACAGGTATATTATATTATATATATTTTCTATGACAAAAATGTAATTAGAACTTAATAAACCAGCTTTTTTACTGACAAAAAATTTATAGAAGTCACATTTTTTAGATGAAATTTCCTTTAAATCCTATCTATAATATTTTAAACAACTATTTTCGCATGTTTTTTTGCAATCTTATTGTTTTATAGATTTATAATTATTTTGTTAATCAATGTAACATGGAATCTTACGTTATACGAGTAATTAAAGTGTTAATTTTAATAAAAAAGCTTAAAGTGGAACATAATGATTAAAAAAAAAAATTAGGATTCGAGTTTTTTTGGTTTTTTGCATTTTCTGAGAACATAGCAAGGTATATTTTTTTTGCACTATCAGAAAATAGAGATTTCAACGAACAAAAAGCCCACCGACTTTTTAAAAAAAGCGGATATTTTGATACGTGAATTTTCAATTGAAAATTAGGGTGGTTTTTTACTATTAAATTAAAATAAGGTAAAAAAATAAATATTTTAAATCAAGAAAATTACAGTATGTTTGGTATCTAAAAAGATAAGTTTTCACCAAATTTCATGCAAAAAAAAAATTTTGTAAAAGATAAAAATAAAAAACCAAAAACTTGGTTATTTCAATATTTCACAGAAATTTTGAGGTTATGTGAAAAAAGTGTAAATACAAAAGTTATAGATCTTTTCATTACCTACAACTTTGCTATTTAACTTTTTTCCATAGGACTCGTAGTTTCGCCGAAAATCGAGATAAACCGATTTTCACCGTTATAAACTCACCCCCTCCTACTTCCCAAACTCAAATCGACCGTAATTTATGTTTCCTTTCATTATTGCTGTATTATCTACCTTTTTTAATGGGTTTCATTCTACTCTAATTTTTTTTTGTTTTTTTACCTTTTTTAACGACTTTAGCACTGGTCTAACAGTGCAAGTGGTGAAATACTATATTTTTTTGAGATATGACGGTGGTCTCATCTTCTCGATTTGTTATATTTTCGAACCGAGTAATATAAATCGATATTTTAAAATTTATCAACTTTTTACTTACAGTGCTCCTCCGAAAAATTGGAACAAGCATAGCATGTCGATTCGCCAGCTGAAACTTTTTGCTAACATTACCATCCAGTGCGCCGAGAGACCTAAAAATATCATTTTTTTCCTTCCCAACGTATCCAATAAGAAACCCCAGAAAAATCCTGAGAGTACCATTCCTAGAAAAAAAAATGTTTACTTTTTAATTCTGCATCTAAAAGAAAAATAATATACAGGGTATTGCATTTAAGAAAATAGAGATACAGCATTTTAAACATTGTATAGAATAATGTATTTATTTTTTCGCGGATTATTCTGTTAAGCTTTGTGTTTAGGAATATATAGATATAATTATTAATTAAATTATTCACTCCAGTCTTTAACCAGTTTTCCGATATAGTGTTTTAACCAAACTTTTATAGTACATAAGAAATATAATGGCCAATATACTCTGTTTTACGACTCATAGACAGACGATGACAGAAGATCGACAGACGATGACAGAAAAAAGGCAGATCACGTCATTACCAATCCAATTATTTCACTAAAAAAAGTTTCTAATTGGTTTCTAATATTTTTTAAAAAAACTGCGGAAGGATTTATGTATATATTCGTCATGCGGTCATATAATTCGTCATGCGATTGTTTTTAACGGGTCTTACATATTTCAACATGATTGGAGTGACGGAACGATAAACGACGCATGGACGCAGATGCGTATAAACTCGACAAGCCCACGGCCACACAGAAAGCGTTTTTAGCGTTGTGCGTTTTTGCGTCTCAAGCGCTTTTTGCGATTTTACCATTTTAAGCATTTTTTTCGATTTGTGTCCATTAAAAACACGCAAAAGACGCGACAGGTCTGCAGTTTCTATCACGATGTCAATTAGTAACGTCGCAAGCTCGTGGATTCCCGGCCCGTTCAACAATCAATCCTGTGAGAAAGAGATAGGCGAGATCGGCGCGGTTAGCGTTGAAGAGACGAAGATAAGATGCTGGGATTCAATTGTGGACGGACCGGGGCATATATTCGGCGACAAACACAATCTACTGCTAGTGCCAGTGGTGTGTGTAAAAATGATAAATAGTATTTGCCATTTATTTTACGAATTTTAGTTTATGTGTATAGTTTTTTTTATGTTTTAGTGTTGTAGTTACTTGTTATAATTATAATATAAGATGATAAAGAATTATAATTATATAATAGAATAGTAAATATATATTACTAGTTGCTAACGCAATTTTAGGACATGATTTATGAAACTTTTTGGAGTGAAACTTCTTTACGCGCGCTGGGAGTAAAGATTCAAGGCCGTAACATACGAGCTATTGAGACGGTCCTGACACACGAGCTAGTTGTAACGAAACGTGTTAACGGCTTAGAAATACGTAGTGACGCGACGCGTATTTGTCCGCAGTCCTCGTGTTTATCACCAGACCAGAAATATTGATATTTTAATACAAATTTTGTAAAAGTGAATCAAATTATTACGTGTAAAAAACCATTTGTTACACGTAAAAAAACTATTTTTATTATTTTACGCGAATAAAACTGTTATACGTAAAAAACTATTTTTTACGCGTATAAAACTATTTATTACTGGTAGAAAACTATTTTTTACGCGTATAAAACTATTTGTTACGTGTAAAAATCTATTTGTTAAACGTAAAAAACTATTTTTTTACGCGCCAAAAACTTATTGTTTCTGGTAAAAAACCTTTTTACGCAAAAAGAAATATATTTTACGTGTAAAAAACTATTTGTTAGACGTAGAATTTTTTTTTTTTCGCATCAAAAACTTATTGTTTCTGGTAAAAAAACTTATTTGCCCAAAAAAAATATTTTTTACGTGCAGAAAACTATTTGTTACGTGTAAAAATCTATTTGTTACACGTGAAAACTATTTTTTTACGCGTCAAAAACTTATTGCCTCTGGTAAAAAAAACTCTTTTACGCAAAAAAAAAATTTTTACGTGTAAAAAACTATTTGTTACACGTAAAATACTAATTTTTACGCGTCAAAAACTTATTGTTTCTGGTAAAAAAACTTTTTTACAGAAAAAAAATACGTGTAAAAAAACTATTTGTTACACGTAAAAAACTATTTTTTACGCGTCAAAAACTATTTGTTTCTGTTAAAAAAACCTTTTATACGCAGAAAAAAATACTTTTTACGAATAAAAACTATTTTTTTTACGCGTAAGAAAATATTCCTTTGATTTATGACTTTTCAACATTTCAAACTACATTTTTTTCAAACATTTCCTTGAAATTTTTGAATTTAATAGAATCTTCTTAAACAGTAGATGTTCTCTATAAAAATATTTTTAGATAATATCCTAAAATGAAAAAAATGCTATTACTATTTAATTTATTTTTATTGTATTATTAAATATTACGTTCGCCTATGACGGGGTCTCATAGAGAAGGCTAAAGATGCTTAAAATTTTTGAGACTTGATTTCTTGCCAAATTATAGGTTATAACTGGTGTTAAAATATGTCAAGTAACCTGCGTTCTAAAAATTTGCGAATTGATTTTGCATTTTGGTTCGCGTTATTAAGTGTGTTTTGTGTTTTGAAAGTTAAGGGGAGGAAAAAATGTGGGAAAATTAAGTGTAGACTAGCGATGGGAACTATCGAATGAATTAGACTATCGAATGGTTAATGAATGAATGATTTCAACTATCGAATTGTTTTATTCGAATAAAATCATTCATTCATTTGTATACTAAAGCATATGTGACAACCTCGCCGTGCGACTAAATGGTTATCGTTGAGCCACGACTATCGAATGCTTTTGATAAATGAAATTTAGTATTCGTTTGATTTTTGTATGCGTCAGTGCATTATTAGTTCTTCCAAATTTTTATAACTTCACCGTATAAATACTGTGCTATTTTTGCGTTTACTAAAATAGTTAAAATACTAAAATAGTAGTTATTTTTTAATTTTATTTATTGACGATTGTGTGCATGTGCAGGTGGTCAAAATTTTTCCGAAAAGTTGTGTGGTTTTCCGTAGTCCGATCTTTCAATTATTTAATTTTATATGGTATATGGTCTATTTTTTAATGGGAAATTTTGAGAAGTAGCAATTTTTAAGAGAGATGAGATGAACTTAAATTAATTTTAAAAGTACATATTTGTATTTTAGATGTTTTAATAATATGAATTAGTTGAACTTAATAATCATATTAAAGTAATGTGGTTAAGTAAATGGTTATCGAACTCAAACTATGGGGTGAGAAAATTAAAATGAAAGTTTTACACGTGCCAATTTTAAAAAAAAGTTAACGATGTTTGTATTTTGTTTATGCTAATTCTCTTACATGTAGTTTTTTGCGAAGAAATATTTCATTTATTTTTTAAAGTAAATGCCAGTAAAAGTAATATAATTAATTAATATAATTTTTAAATAGAGATATAAAGCACCTAATATAAATAATTTTGATTTCTAATTTTTTATTTATATTTTCGTTCCATTACACTGCATGCTTAGAAAATTAATAAATGTTTATATTTCATGATTTTAAAATTTGTTGTTAATATAACAAATTAGTTCTGTAATTATTATTATTTAACAAACCAACGTTGCCAAAAAATTTAAAGACTATATTATTTTTAAATAGGATCTAATATAAATAATTTTGACATCTAATTTGTTGTTTATATTTTGCTACTACTTAAAAAAATATTGATATTAAATCATTTTAAATTTTGTTGTTAATAGGTATAACAAATTATTACTGTTATTATTATTTATTAAACCAGTCTTTGCTTAAAAACATTAAAAATCACTTTCATGTTCTTACATCCAAAATAACAAGTATTATTGCAGTGTAACAACAGAATATTAATAAAAAAAAATGCAGAATATATAGACATACTATCCCTAACTAACTAAAGCCAAACAATAATATTCTTTGCTAATATCAACTAATGCCAAAATATGGCAACAGCGCCCTTCATAATGTATTTTCTGTGTAAATACTAGCACCTCAATAAAAAAAATAATGTGTCCTTATCTATATCTGACTCCGCAAAAAATCAAAGATGCCGGCTTCTTTCATAGCATTGCCACCGACTGCTGTCGGGTTTCTCGGAAAGAAACCTACGTCGCCGGGCGACAACTAAAATTCAGTTAATATTTTATTATAATCGATCCTGACGAATAAATGATTTCATAAATGAATGAATTTTATAAATGAATGGTTTTTGCTGCCGAATTACTAGAATACAATATTTCAAGGCAGATGACGGATCTATTCGATAATTTTTATTCGAATAGTTTTCAACGAATGTTTTCTTACTAACTATCGAATTATTCGAATGAATTGCAACTATCGAATGTTTCGATAGTATTCATTCGATAGTTCCCACTACTAGTGTAGACCCAGAGCACAGTTTATAGTTAATATTCGGTGTCCGGAGAGTCGAATTAGCCACTAATAAAGTTTGTGTATATGGTACTAAAAACTGGAGTAGCTGTAAAATAGAGACAGCACACGATAGGTAAATAATAGATTTTAGTACTGTCTATACTATAATGGAGAGATAAGGTAGATAAGGTAGGAGAGATAATTACTTCGAGTGCTGAAGAGAACTTTTTCAAGAAAGGAATAATTTTATTGATAGTTGTTTTTGCCTTACCTACAAAAGACATAGAGTTAAGCAATCCTTTCTGACTTGACGTTAGTTCCAAATCGCATGCTGCCGCCGGAATGATGAAAGATATTATTCCTGTTTCGCAGTTAATTGATAAAGCTGAAGGTATAGCGACCAATAATAGGAATATATTAAATTTTCCGAACTTTGTTGCCGCTATCGCTGTTTGAAAATCGGCCGGACCATCATTCTCTATTGGTAGTTTTGGTAATTCACCTGAAAATTAAATTCCATTTATTAACAAAAAAAAGTAAATTCGTCATGTGGTTTCCTACACATCTATTTCGTTCGCATTGAGTACATTTCAGGAGAAAAGAAAATACAAAATTACCTGTATTAAACTTGTAATTTTTGTAAGATGCGTCAAATCCAAATACTACTGCCTTGATACTATAGTGACGAGACTGGGCTTGGTATTGCGGTCTATCTAGAGTTTGACCTGCAATACCAAGACCGACCAATGCAAGACTTCCGTACGATCAAGACCAAGCATGCAAGACCCTTGTGGTCATGTTTATGTGATATACAGGGTGGTCCGAATTGTATTTCCGAAACTTCGGCAGCATATTCTGCAGATAAAAATAAGTAAAAAAGTTCGTATAAAGTATGTCCTAAAATGTTTAGTTTCGGAGATACAGGGTGTAGCAATTTCATTTTTATTTCGATTTTTTCCAAATAATTTATGAAGTAACGTATATATTTGGATGAAAATTGATATCTGGGAGTTTTTTTGGCATAAGAAATTTGATTTTGACGTCAATCTTATAGAGGGCGCCACCTACGTATTTTTTAACTGGTTTGAAGAGCAATACATTTTTCTCCGTACCTGTATAAAACTACCGAGTAAAAAAATATACATTTGCGACGTTCTTTACGTAAAAAAGGTTTCTTGGTAAAAATCGCTACGAGTAATGGTTCTCGAGATATTTGGAATCGAAATTATCAATACCTGTCATCATTGACATAAATTAAACATGTTGACTAAATAGTTATTACACTGAAATCATAAATTTGAATAATTTCTGCGCAAAAAGTTCAACAGAAACTGTTATATCATCATTTTTTTCGCAGAAAAATTTATGATTAATTTAAAAAAGTAAAAATTTCCCAAATTTATTATTTCAGTCTACTCAGCGTGTTTATTTTTTGTCACTAATGACATGTATTGACTATTTCCAATCTAAACATCTTGAGAACGGTTGCTCGTAGCGATTTTTACTAAGAGACGTTTTTTTACGTAGAAAGTCATGGAGATGTATATTTTTTCACTCAGTAGTTTTATACAGGTACGGACGAAAAGTTATTACTCTTCAAAACAGTTAAAGCACAGGTAAATGGCACCCCCTACAAATAGGAGTCATATTGACATCAAAATCAAATTTCTCATGTCAAAAATCTCCCAGACACCAAATATCATCCAAATATTGACGTTACTTCAGAAATTATTTGAAAAAATCGAAATAAAAATGAAATTTCTACGCCCTGTATCTTCGAAACTAAGCATTTTAGGGCATACACTTATACCAACTTTTTTACTTATTTTTATCTGCAAAATATGCTACCAAAGTTTCCGGATTATTGTTCGGACCACCCTGTATAAGAAATTACCTATTCGTTCAAAATTGTTGGTTTATTTTATTATAAATAGTGATTTCTGGGCTATTGCATAATATTTTAAAGAAAAAAAAAAATGTCAATTCACTATAATTTATATTGAAAAATAAAAAAAAATCGTCCGACAAATATTTTTAGTAGGTTTTGTTTTCGTTCTTTATACATATATATTTGCATTAAATTACTAAAAATACTATTTATTTAAAGATTTTCTATATATAAGGTGCACCTAGAAAAAATCTATTAGAAAAATGCAAGACTTGCAAGAGTCTTAGAGCAAGATCAAGACCATCTTGATCTTGCATTTGCTCATCACGACTTAATAGCAAGAAACAAGCTTTAGAAATAAAAGCTGAACCACATTTTAAAATTCTCAAGCGGTGTTACTCATTTTTTCGATTTTCAGTTATGGCTTTACATGAGATAGGAGAAAATTTGTATAAAAGAAATATGGTGGGTGTAAATGAATATATAATTTCTATATGGAGTGGAATCCTGGACCATCAAATCATCCGAAAGGCGCATGATAGACAGTTTTGAAATGTGGTACTACAGACGTATGCTGAATATCTTGGACAGCTAGAAGAACTAATCTGTCAATAAAATAAGCTTAAAATAAGCACCCGACTGTCGGTTACCTGTCTGAAACGCATCCTCGAGTACTTTGGACACATTGCTCTGGACACAAGACCTGCCGATAACATGGAAAAAATTATTATAATTGGTGATGTCCAAGGAAAAAGATGTAGAAGTTGGTCCCCAACAAGATGGATCAATCAAGTGAGATAAACAACCGCTCTACCCCTAGACTCAGCTACCCATCGAGCTGAAGACAGATTAGCCTGGAAAGATATTGTCAAATAAAAAGTATTTTTCATAGAACATAGAAGTCACGACCCTCAGCTATGAGGAATGATTGGAGAGAGAGAGAAATTAATATATGCCAAAAAAACTTTGGAGCTGAATATTATTTTAGTTAAAATAACATTTTTTGATATATTTTTTTAATAAGAAGAGAACAAAATCGACATTTTTTCCTTAGAAATGGTAAATGGTAAATAGTTCACTTTATCATCTTTTCTGTAGCACTGACCCAAATAAATTTTGCGCTTCTTTAACATTTTAAAACAGAAAAAAATATTATGTTAATTAAAATTCTATCAATAACAATTTATCAAAGAATGAAAACGAAATTATATATTACCATAGTTGTTGATAATGAGTTTTGATTATTAGGACTGAAAAAATTCAATTATAATTTTAATGTTTTTTTTGTAATTTTCTCTAAAGCGGTATGGAATAATGCGGTATGAATAATATGGAAGAATGCATTTTTTTCAAAATGTTAATTGTAAAAAAGTTTTTCCTCTTGTAAAGACAATTCCCTACTGTATAACGGATGTTTCTCAAAAGTGGCCTACCTCTATAACTTTTTTATGTTTTCAGACAAATAAACGAGATTTGGTACATTAGTATATGACATAAATCAGAATTGATTGACGTATTCAATTGTTTTCGGTCACTTCCTGTGTTACCGGAAATAACCACAACTTTTAATTTTTAAATTAGACCCTCGATATTTTTATACTTTATTCGATAGAAAATGACACTTAATAGAATAGAGTGACCTGTGATAGGCCGAATAGAGTATCATAGACCAACTTTTGACATTCTTGTGTAAAAAAAATGAATTTTAAATTTCAATCTAGGGTGCTATGGCTGCGTTAAAAACACTAATTTTTAATCAAGGAGCCTTGGCAAAGATATACTTGATAGTTTAATGTTTTAGTGTGTTGTCCTGGCCGGTCAAAAGTGCCCAAATCGCATATTTAATCATAACTCTATTTTTTTAAATGGAAAGAGGGTGGTTCATTAGCATATTCGAAAAAGTCGTTTTTACGAATAATTTGGTGCCATACACTTGGCATTTCGAGTTAAATTCTTGTTATATTTATGACCGTGGCACTTGAAATTTAAAATGTTATTTTCTATCGAATAAAGTAAAAAAATAATAGTGAGGGTGTCATTTAAAAATTAAAAGTTGTAGTCATTTCCTGTATAGCACGAAGTAACTGAAAACAATTAAATATTGTCAATCAATCCTAATTTATGTCATAATACACTAACATACGAATTCTCGTTTTTTATATGAAAAAATAAAAAAGTTATAGGAGCGAGCCACTTTTGTGAAACACCCGGTATAGGACATCTCATGTTTATTGGCGCCCCTATTGATTTTAGATGAAACTTTTAAAATATTTTGTAAGAAAAATTCTATTACTATTATATTTTTCCATCATATTACAAAAACATAGAACGATGTTCCTCGTTTCATGTCATAAATTTTAATAAATTACTAATGGCCGTGTGTATTTTACCGTTTTACAAATTACTTTTTTAAGGACCTAATTTCGCAAATAATTTGAAAACGGCTTTGCGGAAGAGTTTCAAAGTTGATAAGTAGCCTTATTTGATTCAGTACTTTAAAAAGTAACATAAGTTTCTTCTAAAATCAACAAGGAAACCAATAAATGACACACCTTTAAGATTTCTTATATGTTCTGAATCCTGATGTATAACCCTGTATGCTTAAGGGATACCTATTAAGTGTTTTTTCCAATGAATAAATAATAGTTTTTATACACTTACAATTGATTAATTTAAATTGACTGAATAATAATGAGTAACGAATTAAGAAATATATAGAACTTACCATTGATATTTTTGACTTCAGTAATTTTGCAGCTGCCCATGATGTCAAATAATATAGAAAGCACTTGAAAATAAATTCACTGCATTTCTTTCTGATGTTAACTAAAGTTTCGCTTAGCTTGAAGCATTTGACTAGAAAACTACGATATTAAATTAAATATATATGTTATATCAAAAATCTTGAATAAATAATTGATAAGTCGACATATCCCACGTTTGCTGGAGATGCTTCTAATCAGTGGTGTTCCGCAAACAAAAATTTAAACAAAACAATAAATGTAAAGAATAACAACTTTTTTCTGATCTAATATAACTTTTCATTATAAAAAATAAACATAATAAAATGCACTTTTAGCGAAAACTGTTATACAGGGTTGTTCGCCACATACGACACGGAGTATTGTAGCTAAACGATGAGATTTTTACAAATTGTAAGTTTTGGGTTCGATGAAGGACTATTAGAGGTACAATTTAAAAATAATTTTACAAGATACAGAGTGTCCCAAAGAAGTAAAAAATATCAAAGTTGTATTTTTTTAAATGGAACACCCTGTATATTATTTCATTTTTGGTTTCTACGATTAAAATAAAAGTAAATTTGATTAAGGTTTATTATACTTAAACCTTACCGTTTTTGAAATATGTTCAATTTTGTGAAATTGCAGTAAAAATTTTAAGGCTTCATTTCTCCAAGGGTATCAAAGTTTTTAATACTAAATATTTACTGAAGTTTATTTATTGATTAGTTATTTTGTTGCAATAATAAAAATAATACTACCTTATACAGAGTGCCTAAAAATTTATTTTAAATAATTATTAGTTTCAAACGGCAATAACTTGTTTAATTTAAATGGAATACCTTGTATATTTTACGAGAATCAGATGCACAATTTAATTGTCTATCAAATTATATTATACCATTTTTTACCTATCTCTTTAAGTTTCCGTAGAAAATGCATTTTCTTGTAATATAGAACTTATTTATCAATATACCCATGGAATATTGACATTTTAGATTATTTTTAAAGATGTACCAAATTTCTAAAGAGTACAGATACTAATAGTGTCGATATAATTTGTTTATTTTATTAAAAAATAAAAAAAAACTGTTTAAATATTTGTTAAAGGGGACCAATTAATATGATTCCAGTATTCAAACTACATTAACTGAGAGACACACATTACTCTGAAAGAGGCTGTTTGCGTTGATTAATAATAATTGCTCCAAATACTAAAAAACTGAATTTTGTATGGGTATTAGACAGTGTGATAAAAAGAAACACCTTAAAAATGATATTTCATTTTTTAATAAATACTTATTTATAACAACAGAGACTTTAATTTTGATAACTTATTATTATATTGATTTCTGACTCAAATCCACATTTATTTAGGATAATTTATTAACAAACACAATTAAGTATGTAATTAATTCGTATATGGGCGGAAATAATGGTGTTATATTTAATTAATGGTATACTCTTTTATAAAGATTTAAATAGTTTTCTTTTTGCATACAAATGGGCTAGTAATATGATCGTTTTGCTAAAAACGATAATATTACTAGCCTGTACATTTTGCACATTTGTTGCTTTAAAAACAATCTAAAATGTGAATATTCCATAGGTATATTGATAAATAGGGTCTAAATTATAAGAAAATGCATTTTCTACGAAAACTTGAAGGGATAGGTAAAAAATAGTATAATACAATTTGATAGACAATTAAATTGTGCATCTGATTCTCCTAAAATATACAGGGCGTTCCATTTAAATTAAAGAAGTTATTGGCGTTTAAAGCTAGAAATTATTTAAAATAAATTTTTAGACACTCTGTATAAGGTAGTATTATTTTTATTATTGCAACACAATAACTGATCAATAAATAAACTTCAGTAAATATTTAGTATTAAAAACTTTGATACCCTTGGAGAAATGAAGCCTTTTGAAATTTTTACTGCAATTTCCCAAAATTGAAAATATATTTCAAAACGGTAAGGTTTAAGTATAATAAACCTTAATCAAATTTACCTTTTATTTTAATCGTAGAAACTAAAAATGTAATAATATACAGGGTGTTCCATTTAAAAACATACAACTTTGATATTTTTTACTTATTTGGGACACTCTGTATCTTGTCAAATTATTTTTAAATTGTACCTCTAATAGTCCTTCATCGAACCCAAAACTTGAAATTTGTAAAAATATAATCGTTTAGCTACAATACTCCGTGTCGTATGTGGTGAACAACCCTGTATAAAAAAATAAAAAAATATTAATTTTAAAAAGACAAATATATATTTTATAAACTTGAGTTTTATTGTATTAATTAAAATTATATATTGATTCTTTATCTTGGAAAGAAATTTTAGAGCTAGGTCCTTGGATAAAGGCTTTGCAGTGCTCGCGCTCCTGTCTGTTTCTCCAATGGACATTCTGCTTTTCCCCGATACAGAGTTTTAGTGCACTATGGCCCATACATTTAGGTATTCCCAGTACTGGCTCTGTGCCAAGATAGGACGCCGATGATTCTTGCCTAGCCAGCTCATCGGTTTTTTGTTGCCTTGAATGCTGCTGCAGCCCGGCATGTCCTTGATCTTTACCCAAATACTCCAGCTTTTAATCTGTCGACAGTCTTTGACCCGTCGTATACCAGGTTAGTCCGTCCTGAAGCAATGTTGTATCTGTCCACATTTCTCGATCCCTTTTATTTACCCTGAATGTTTTGTGATTTGTAAATATTGATAAAGAGGGGTTATCTGGACCGGTCTCATTTGGAGTAGAGAGCCCCAATCGAATTCCCCATCTTTAATTGTCTTGTTTCTGTCGTATTTCTCAGAGGCATCGTTGTTTTGATAAATTCCCATTCGTGCCTTCGCCTAGATCACTAGAGAAGAGGCTGAAGGTCCAGAAGCGCCCCAATTGATGCAGTGGGCGTTGAGGGTAAGCTGTGTTTTTTGTTGCATTACATTAGTCCACCATAGTAAGGATGCTTATGTTACTGAAGGCTAGTGTACAGCCAGTACACCATTTGTTGTCTGAGGCCCTAATTTTTTTCCATAAAGTCATCTGAATACCGCTAGTACAGTCACCGCCATTTTTGTGATATTTTTCTGTGAGGTTTTCTAAAATTTTAGGATTAATTTATATTTTAGATAAACATAATTTCCACTTGGCATTGTTACTTTATTTCCCTTACAAAATGGCAAGGTTAATTTTATAATCGTACTTTTCAAATATGAGAAACACCATCATCAACTTTTTAATTTAAATACGGTTCTATTTTTTTATTTTACTGTTTATTACCATTCATAGTGCCATTAACTACCATACAAAGTTATTACGGTACAGTTTGTGAATCCAAAAGACGAGTAAAAACGTTTTTTTCAATATCAAGATGATTAATATCCATGGATTGATCAAGATTGATTAATTTCAGAGCTATATGTATGGAAAAGTTTTGAAAATTGGTCAATTTTTGATGATTTTTTTTTAATAAAAGTAAGAAATATAGATTGTAGAGTACGAATCTAATATCTAATAAAAATGTCTATACCTCTGTGGCGGATTCTTCTCTCCAAAAAAGTTTTATAGGTATTTCGCCACTATAAGAAAATCTACAAAATAAAATAGTTACTTTTTGTAAATACTGCTACGTTAATCCAACGGAAACTAATTGGCAGCAGTGGTTTACTAATAAAAAAATTTGCCTAACGGACAAAAAAATGCTTAACGTTTCAGGAAGTAGGTATATCTCTTCCCGTCGTCGGAAGCAAAAAAAAACACAAAGAATAAAGAAAAAAAAACTATTCAAAATATCTTAATGCAACTATTCAAGAACACTGTATTTTTTTGAACAGATACGTCTGCAGAACGTCAACGGTTTTTGTAGACGTATCTGTTTTAACAAAAAATTAAAGTGTTCTCGAATAGTTGCATTTAGATATTTTAAATAGTTTTTTTCTTTGTTCTTGGTGTTTTTTGCTTCCGACGACGGGAAGAGATATACTTCTCGAAACGTTAAGAATTAATAACGTTTAATAATGAAACGTGAAGCTAAAATTCAGGTTTAAAATTAAATATCGGAAAAACTGAACTAAACCAAATTAAAAAATAAGAAGTAGGATAGAACAAGCTAGAAAAACTATCCTAAAACTTCCAAAGTTTTTCATATATAAGAACTTGAATTTCGGCTTTATAGGCACACGTGTGTGTGAAGTGAAATCAAGAAAATCAAGAACTAGAAATAGAATTGAAGTTTTCGAAATCTGAACTTTTCGAATGGTCAAGAACAGAAAAATAGCGTGTTTGGGACATGTTTTACGTGGAGACTGTTATCACTTTCAGCGTCTAAACCTCCAGGGTAAAATCGAGGGAGGCAAAAGGGAATAGGTCGGAGACAGCTATCCTGGTTGAGAAATATTTGTTAATATAGAGGCACTTCCAAGCACTCCATGTCGCTGCAACTAATAGATCCATCTGATGAGAAAGGAAACGATGAACACCAATACAGGAATCGCACTTTAAAGTATATAATAATAAGTTATACCTAAATGAAATAGAATAATTTTGTGGATACTTATATCCCTAATAAAGCCTTTGAAGTAACCAAAGGAGTACGACAAGGATGCATTCAGTCAACGATGCTTTTTAACTCGAAAGATATTTCAGCTTGCTCTCGAAAATAAGTCCGTATTAAGTTCAATGGTATATACGTAATAAGGCCTATTAATAACATCAGATATGCGGATGATACTGTTTTATTGGCCTCCACTATGGAAGATCTTCAAGGACTATTAAAAAAGATAAATAGTGCTTGCGGATATCTGCAAAGAACATGCGCTCATTATCTCACCTTAAACAATTCACAGACAGCGTTTTCTTTCATAATTACGTGAAACTTTATAGAACGGTTTATCGTAAGACTATAAAAGCTGCCAAGGACATTTATTATAATGGGAGGCTAGCCAAATCCGGTAATGTTGCTAAGGAGACTTGGGCTATTGTAAATGACTTAAGGAATAAGACTTTTTCGTCTGGCACAGTCTTTAATTCACCTGAAGATTTAAACACTTACTTTGTTAATAAGGCTAAAAATTTAGTGAACACCATAACTCCTTCCCATGATTCACTTTCATATCTCCCTAAAGC